GCTTAATTATATTTTAAGTTTTATGTTTATATATTTTTTATTTTGATTAATTATTAATTTTGAAGTTTAGTAATTAGATACTTTGTACAATAAATTTATAATTCAAAAGTTCAAGTATAATTTATATATATTAACTTCTTAATAAAACATGTGCAAGTTAATTAAAACTATCTTTTTAGCTATTTTTGTAGTTGAAATTTATTGAACAGAAATTTTTTTTTAGTTGTGCATTTTGTGCAATCGAATAATGCTCGAGCGGCACAATGACATTTAAAAAGTCGATGTATATAAATCTTAAGAAAATGTCTTTAAATTCTAATATTGATTAAATTATACTTTTAATGCTGAACTTATAAGTTGCTTACTTATTCTACAAGGCGGTAGTATACTTTCTACAAAAAATATTAATTTGTAAAGTTAAAAAAGGAAAATTAGTTGGTTTTTAATTTTCTATCAAAAAAAAAAAATTTCCCGTAGAAGAACTTTGTACTTGTCGATCTTTTTTTTGTTTAACTTTATTTTATTTTTATTATATGAAAAGATCTCTTATATTTTTTAATATAGTTTACTTTTTGAATTGATGGATTTCTTTGGGCTTTTCTACTTTATATCTTGAAATCTTTTATATTAAATTTTAAAGTTAAAGATATTTTTTTCTGCCTTCTTGATTGAAGTTTATCCTAACTCTTTAACGTTTATTATACTTTTTAATTTATTATAATTTTGACGTTCTTTTTATTTTTTTTAATTAATTATTTCGAAACGTTAATTTGATTGCAATAATAATAATAATAATAATAAATTTTAACTTATTTTTTCTGGTTATTTACTTCATTATTTTGTTTATATTTACTTTTTTTTAGTATTTATTATTATATTCTATTACTATTTGCATTATTAAAATCCTTTGTGTTATTTTTCTTAAAAGCTACTGACTTTATTCAAAAGTTTTATATCCTTTACTTTTTTTTTTTTTAAATTCTATATTTTATAGTTTTTTTGGTTTTTTTATATTAAAAAGTTTTATTTATAGTAACTTTTATATAAATAAATATAATTCAGTTTGGGTATTTAAAATTGCTGTCAACAATTTTAAGTTTACATAACCGCGAGTAAGTTTTTATAAATTTAATACAAATTTTGAATTGACCTAGTTTTTTTACCTTTTTCATAATTATATACTTTCTAAAAACATATTGCTATAGAAGTATATACGTTTTAAAGGTTTTTTTTATATTATATTATTCATTAATAGAATTTGTTCCATATTTAATTATAATTTTGAGCTTTTATTCCGTGTAACTATTTTTGATTATGATAATAAACTTTTTGTTAAATAAAAATATTTATTAATTTTTTTTAATACAATAAAAACTTAAAATATTTTTTTTTAATTTTTTTTTTAGATTATGTATTAACTTTTCATTGTGGCACGTTAAAAGTCGTTGATCAAATCTTTTTGAAAATGTTAAATCCTGAAGTGGACTTGAAGCCTGACTGGATACTTTATTTATTCGTGAGTAAAGTGTTTATAAGTAAACTTTAGATTAATTTTTTTTACAAGCAAAAAGTTTTTATTAATTAGTTAAAATTTTTATTTAAGGAAGGAATTATTTTAAATTTAGCTTATGCTTAAAAGTATAATTGTTATACAAGAGATTTGGGGACATTTTTTTGTATGAAGGATTTTTATAAGCATAATTGAAATTTAATTTGTTGCTTTATTTATAGAATTTGAGAAGTATACAACTACCGAGGTTTTATAAAAATTTATCAAAGCATTTTTGTTAAAAATAAAAATTATTTATTTTTAAGTAAACGTTTTTGGAGTTATATTATAAGTTCTAAGTTTTTTTAAATATAATAGATTTATATTATTAAACTTTTTATATTTTCTTGTATTAAAGATGTATAATTTATATTTGAATATGTTTTTATAAGTAAAACTTTTATAAGAGCAATTTCTAGAGACGTTTCTATATAAATAATCTTTTAATGTTTCTTGTAAAATATTTTTAAATTTATTTTTAATAAACTGTTTTAAGGAATTGAGATTATTTTATATAAATGTTATAAATTTACAATGATTATTATATATTTTTACTTTGAGTAAAACTTCTTTACTGAATAAAGTCATCAAGGCATTTTTATTATGCAAATAAAATTCTTGAGCATAAAATTTAGCATTTTTTTATATATTAAAATATTTTTTGAAAATTTATAATAAAATATATATAGAAAATATTACTTTTTATGAGGCTTTACATAAAATATAGTAGAAAAAAGGGTTGAGTCTTAATTTATTTTAAAATTGAGTATATTCTAAAAGTTTTTTGTATAGAATCTTTTGGGTTTGGATATTATTTATATGGAGAGAAAAAATATAATATTTATTTTTATCGTTTATTAATTTTTATTAATAACTTTTTATTAATATATTCTTTATATCTTTTTTATTTATTATGTATATAATACTTATATTATTTGCTTCATTTTATATATTATTTAAGCAATGTTTTTATGGTCTTGTACACAATCCTTTCTTTTTAAAAAAAACTTTTTATGTAAAAAGTTTGGTAAATTTAGATTAGGACTGTGTTTAGACTAAAAAATATATATTATTTTTTGCATTAATTTTGTTAGTAATTATAATTTTTTTTTTGTATATTTAAAAAATTGTACATTTTGCTCATTTCTTTTTCAAGTAATAATTTATTTAAACTAATTTAGTGTTCGGTTTTGTATTATTTGCTAGCAATTTTGTTTTTTATTTTGTTTAATATTTTCATTTTAGTATATTAATATACTCAATTTTTTTTAAGTGGACTATTTTTTTATTAATATATCATGAATTTGTTTGAATTTCGCCTTAGGCTTGTTAGCAATTCTAATTTTTTTTTACTTTTTTTGGCTCATTTTTAACTATTTTAGATTTGTTCTTATTCTTTTGCTCAATTTTTTTTAAAAAAATCATGAAAGTGTTTGGGTTCGGTTTGTAGTAACTATATATATATAATACTCTAAGAATTATTTTGTATAATTTATTTTTCCAAATTCTGAAAAAATTTAAATTTACTTTTTGATATTGCTATATTAAAAATTTTTTAACAGTATTTACTTGTATTTACTTGTAATTAAAAAAGTAATTTCTAGTAGTGATTTTTTTAACAGCAAGAATCTTGCACTTTTTTTAAAAAACTTTGAATTTAATTTTTGCCAATTTTATTTTTATTATAAGTGTATTTAATAAAAAAATTATTAAAAACTAAAAAGGTTAGTGAAAGTACTTTAATTAAAAAAAAAAAAACAAAAGATTATTGCAAAATCTATAAAAGGGTGATTATAATTTTTATTGTGCACCGAACCTTTTTATAAAATACAAGTAATTTTTAAAAACCAAATTTGTAAATGCAAGTTATGTTAAGACGATTATTTTTTTTCCTGTGCGCCAAACTTTTTTAATAAATAAGATTTATAATAAATTGAAAAGCCATTTCTATTAAAAAAATGATTATAATTAGTTTGTGCACCAACTTTTTTTAATGGCATGCAGTTGGATATTATTGCAGATTCCTACGAACCCGCAGCTAACATGGCCGAATCTGAGACAAACGCTATTGACGAGCTGATCTTCTATCTCAGCGAATCCGACCAGCACGGTAATCTATTTAATAATTACTATTTTTTAAAAAAACCATTATATCATAAAAAATGAACTTATATATGTCTTTTCTGTTTATAATTTTAAAAAAAAATCATAATATATAATTTAAAATTTATAATTTTAATGCAGAAATACTTTTTTTTAAGTTTATATAAAGTACTATAGAATTTACTTTTAATTATAATATTCTATAAGGAGGAATTATTTGTAAAGCTATACAGTTGTAATGAAAGTTTAATTGGACTTACATTTTGATTTTTGTTTTGATATATTTTTATGTCAGTTGACTTTTTTAATGTATTTATATATAAAGTTATATTTTTTAAATAAAAAATTAACATAAAAAATAAATTACTGCTAATAATATAATAGTTGAAATAGGATAAAGGTATTTATAAATAAGAATTTGTTTTGTGATGCATCAGCCCGCCGCGAATATTAAATTTAATTTTTTATAATACGAAATCTGCAATTAATTTTAATAACATTTTAAGATTTATAAGAAATTTTTGACATAATCTGTTTTTAATAAAATTTAAATTGCACTACATAAATTAAAGGTTAATTTAACGTTTAGAGAAATTTTATGTAAAACGTTATCGTTTAAAATTTTTAATAATCCAAAAGCTTGTCTTTTTTTAATTTAAGAAAAAATTTTCGATTTCTAAAAGATTCACAAAATTATAAATTCTATTTTGTTTTAAAGTAAATATACTTTATTGGTATAAAGTGTTTTGTTTATAGAACTATATAAGTTGAGCGCTTTCTTATAAAATTATATATAATTTAATCTAATTTTTTCTGATAAATTATAAAATAATCATAAAGAAATTTAGTGTAAAATAATTTATAAAGTTTTCCTTAAAGATTCCTTTAATTAGTGAAAAGGTTTTTTTGTTTTCTGGGAAGTTTAATTAGCTCCATAAAAATTTAATAAAATTTTTTTTTTGTAAACTAAATTTGCTATTAATTTTTTAAATTAATTTCAATATAATAAAAAAAACTAGTTATATATAAAGTTTTTATTAGTTTTATTTTCTATTAGATTAATTTTTTTTAATACCAAATTACTTTTAAAATTCCTATAAGTCCCAAAGTATTTTTATTCTTAAATATATGGACATAAATGAGTTATAAATTTTGTTTGAAAGAAGTAAAATTTACTTTTAATTTTATAAATAAATTTATTAATAAATTAGTTTTTAAAATATAACAATTTATTTTTGTTTTGTTATCAATTTTAAATTTAATAAAATTTTTCATAATTTTCTTTTGTATTTTTTTAACTCCAGTAGAAATTAATTTATAATAAATAAATTTTATTTAAAATTTCAGAGAATAAACTTTTTAGATGTTAGCTATCATTTAAAAATTTAATAACTTATTTTATATAAATGCTTTATTTTTATTAATATTTAGTTAAATAAAATTTTTTGCTATATTAATTTAAAGTTTTTAATAATAAATTTGGAATTGCATTTTGGCTAAACAATTTTTCCCACAACTTAAAAATTTTAAATAATTAATTTCTAAATTTTTATTATATTTTTCAAGTTTGATTAGAACTATTAATTTTTGAATCCATATTACATTATAAATTATTTTTTATTTTGCTAAATCTGTACTCTTTAATTTTTACATTTTTAAATTTTATTTTGTTTAGATGTCCTGCGTCGTTTCGGAATCAGCCGAAAGAAAATGTCTTTACTTACTAATAAACTAAAATCCAAACGCGATATACTTTTGTTTCTCACTTCATCTCGAAAATCTGGAAATCGCGTGCATGGATCCACTTACGTTTATTTTAGAGATGTTCGTTTGTATAAATTATAAATTTTGGATTTAAATTTATATTTATTTAATATAAAAGTAAATATAGTTTTTAGGATTAATTTACAACAACAAACTACTTCGTATATTATTGTCTATATAATTAAAAGATTATTTTTAAACTAATTTTAAAATTTTAATTTTTATTTAATTTAATTTCCAAAGAATTCTAATATCTCTTAAATTTAATTTTTTATTAATTAAGTTTGAATAAAAGTTTTAATCTAAAGCTGTTTCTATAATTTTCTAATATAAATAATTTATTTGTTATCTGAAATTTATAATTTCAATTTTTTACTCGTTCAGTTTGGAAATAATTACATTAAAAAAGTTTTAATCTAAAGCTGTATCTATAATTTTGTAAATATATAAATAATTTTATTTATATTTGCATTATTTAATATTAATATTTTATTCATTTTCAAGTTTATAGATTTTACAATAAAAAAAGTTTGTTTTGAAGCAACATTTTTCTAATCTTGTAATTATATGAATTAGTTAATCTTATAATTTCAATTTCTTATTAATCTTAAAGTTTAAAGATTTAATATAAAAGAAGTTTATTAGAAAGCACCCTCTACAATTTTATATATTTATATATATAATTTAAATTTAATTGAATTTTATTATTTAATTTTTTTTAAATTATTCTTTAAGGTGTTAGATTTAGTACAGCAGCTACTTGTCAAAGTGGAACAATCTCGCGAGTTGCTAAACAGTGTTCAGGCCAACTATCTTGCTCAGGTTTGATAAAAACTGCCTATACAGTTTAACTCAATTTTTTTTAAAGTGACAATTCGAATATTATTAGTAGAATTTTTTTACTAATACTCGTAAATTTTTTAAAAATGTTTTCGTATATTTTTTAAAGCTAATAAATATCTTTCTAGTTTTAATTTATCGGAAATTTAATAAGAATTGCAAACCATTAAGCAACTTTTTTGATATCTATATTTTTGAAAAAGTTTTCTACTTGATAAATTTATTGAAATCGTATGCAGATAACCATTTTCTGGCTAACAGTCTATAAGTGTTTAAGTTTACAATTTTTAAAGTACTTTAAGTTAAATATTTGAAATTTTGTTTTTTTAGGAAAATTAATTTAAATATTTTTTCCTTTCTTTAGTTAAGCGTTCAATTGAGCGTCAATTCCAACAAATCCAACGACTCGTTAAACAAACTCACCGTCGCTTCTGTTATTTTTCTTCCTTTAAATTTAGTAAAATAATAATTTTTTTAATTTTTCCTTATTTATTTATATATAATTATGCGAAACTTTTTTTTTATATGTTAATTTCTTAATTTTCTGTTTCTTAAGCGGTTTGATTTAAAAATAAATAACATTGCAAAAAAATTAAATTTTTATAATTTTTACAAAAATAGATTGCTGGAGTTTTAGGGATGAACGTTCCTATCCCTTTTCAACGCTCCGGCTCGCTCCTACCTTTTTTTGCAGTTGTTGGCATTATGGTGATGGGAGCTTTAGTTTTCGCATTTGTGTGCAAAAGATTTAAATATTTATGATAATTATAAATTCTAGTTTTAGTATACATAAGAATTTTAATTATAAGTAAAAAATAAAGCGGTTAGTTGAGATTTTTTATTTATTTTAACTTTATCACCGAAAGCTGGAGTTATTATTATAAGATAGGTGGAATTTTTTTAATAAAAAGATTAGGGGTAAGTTTTAATTTAGGGTATTGGCGATGACTCTTCTTGATTTATTAAATTATGTTCTCTGTAACAATTGGAGCTATAATTAGATAAATAGCGATGACTCTTCTTAATTTATAAATTCTGTATAAGCATTTTTTCCCTTCTCGTTTAATAGTAAAGAGAAACACTGAAATACCGAAAGCATCGAATTGAGAGTGCTTACTTGAATTTTTTTTTAAGCTGCATTTATAAAACGCTCTTAAAATATTTATATGAAATCTTATAACAGAATTTTAAGCAGCTAATTTTTCAAAATTGTTATCGAAAAATTGAAAAAGTATAGTTGAATTGAGAGCCAGTAAACTTTTTTAAAACTGTTTTCTTCAATGCGTAAATACTAAATGTATGTAATGACCTTGCCAGTTACAAATTATAACTAAGCCAAGACATGTTAAGCAAACGTGATTGTGGTTATTCCCGCGCAACTATAATTATGTTAAAAACTAACTCTGGAAATTCTTAAGGCCAAAAAAAAACTTGGTCACTTTTAAAATTTCCATGCAAACCGTATTTTTATACTTGAATTGCCAATAGTTCAACTTTTAACAATAATAGCAGACGCTAGCTTACACAGAGTAAAAATAAAAAATATAAATTTTTAAAATTAGACGCTTTATAAAATTGAAAAAATTATCAGGAGTTGGTTTGAAAATTCAAAAAGTAGTTAAGACTTTATAAAAAAATATTACAACAACCATCAATTGTCAGGTTATAAAAGTCAAATTTTTTTTGTGCAGTTGAAAACACAGATTTACTATTAGAATAACTTGCAAAAACAAACAAAAGTTTTAAAAATTAAATTAACTAAGTGGTTATAAATATAAGAGCAATCAAAACAGTTATTAACATCTTAACAAATTATATAATTTTTTAATACATTTTAAACAACGCAATGCATATGACCTGTTTGAAAAAATACAAATCTTGAAAGAAAATTTTATTGAAAAAACAAGTATGTTATTTATAATTAAGTAAAACGCTAACAAGAGGATCTATTTATTTAAGGATAGATATTTTGAATAAGATTAAAAATTATGGCTGAATAAATATAATTGATGAAAAAATAACGGAAGTTAAGAATAATAACCAGAGAGTAACCAAAAAAAAAAATAGAAAAGTACTTGCTGCCTTGTACCTGCTTTGTTGGTCTTCAGGGGAGACAACGCCCGGGCGCTCCGTTGTTTGCCGAAAAACATTCATTTAGCCCTGCACCCCGCGAAGCATAACGGATTTCCAGCGTTTTGTGGGTCGGATATTTTTTTGTCAATATCACCCTCTAATTATTGAAATTGTGCATTGCTTTACCTAATTTCCTTTTATCTTTCGTACAGAAATTATAATAATGTTGTATATTTATATATCAATGCTTTAATTTTTTTTTTTTAAATTTTTGAAGATCCTTTTTGAACTTACAACTTTGGCATGCATTATAAATTTCCCAGGCTTCAATTACAAACCAAAAAACTATTGAGGGTACCAAAAAACTTTTTTAAAGTTCGAGTTCTTTATTTTTTAATGTTTTATATATAAATTTTCTAACTTACTATCGTTATCCTTTACTGTATTTTACTTCACTAACATAATTTATTATTCTGGTACTAAAAAAAGTTGGTCTTCAGAAGGCTTTCATCTACTAAGAAAGGCGATTACATTACTATTGATCACGAATTTGACGCTGTGGTTGTAGGTGCTGGCGGGGCTGGTTTACGTGCGGCCTTTGGGCTTGCTGAGATGGGACTAAAGACCGCTTGCATTACCAAGTTGTTTCCAACGCGTTCCCACACAGTTGCTGCACAAGGTTTGTAATTTCCCTTTTCTATTTTTTCTCTTCTATAATTTTCCTGTTATAGGTGGCATCAATGCTGCTTTGGGCAACATGTCCCAGGACGACTGGCGCTGGCATTTTTATGACACCGTCAAAGGTTCAGATTGGCTAGGAGATCAGGCATTACTAACTCTATATTGCATTTTTTTACTTTAGCGTGTAGTAAACTTAACCTATTTATACAGGATGCCATCCACTATATGACTAGGGAAGCACCCGACTGTGTGAGGGAACTGGAGCACTATGGGTGCCCCTTTAGTCGCACGGAGACCGGTCTAATATACCAGAGACCTTTCGGTGGACAGAGCTTGGGGTACGGAAAGGGTGGGCAGGCCCACCGCTGCTGCGCCGTGGCGGACAGGTGTTTTTCTTTGTGCATTACTAACACAGTTTAGCTCAACTGTGGTGCCTCTAGGACTGGTCACGCTATTCTCCATACGCTCTACGGTCAGTCTCTGCGCTTCAACACGCAGTATTTCATCGAATACTTTGCCCTCGATCTTCTGATGGACGAGGGGCGGTGTGTCGGCGTTTTGGCCATGAACATGGAAGATGGCACCCTTCACCGCTTCCGAGCACATGATACCGTGCTGGCCACGGGCGGGTACGGTCGCGCCTACTTCTCCTGCACCTCTGCCCACACTTGCACGGGTTCACCTTTTTCGGGAAACATTCTCTGTAATACTTACACGATTCGTTTTGCCCTTTTGGCCTTATTAAGGAGACGGAAACGCGATGGTTGCACGCGCTAAACTGCCTTTGGAAGATTTGGAGTTTGTTCAGTTTCATCCAACTGGGATATACGGCGTCGGCTGCTTGATCACGGAGGGCTCCCGAGGAGAGGGCGGCTATTTGGTCAACAGCGAAGGTCTTCTTCTTAAAATTTCTGCCCGCGTGTACAGACCCACCTTTTGCGCAGGAGAGCGCTTTATGGAGCGATACGCACCCACCGCCAAGGACCTCGCCTCCCGAGACGTCGTTTCGAGGGCTTCTACCATCGAAATTCGAGAAGGCAGGGGTGTGGGCCCGCTGAAAGACCACGTGTATCTTCAGCTACACCACCTGCCCCCCGACATATTGCACGAACGGCTGCCGGCCATATCCGAAACTGCCAGGTCTCTTGCCGCTTACTGGCTTAGCTTTTTTTTCATTGTTTCCCTGTACCAGCATTTTTGCTGGAGTAGATGTGACTAAGGAGCCGATCCCTGTTCTTCCGACCGTCCACTACAACATGGGCGGCATTCCCACCAACTACCACGGACAGGTCATCACTCACGAGGTAATTAGCTTAAGGACGCAGAATTGGATGTGTCCATCCGCCTTAGCGCTAAACTGCTGTTCTCTTCTTTTGTAGAACGGGCGTGATAAAGTCGTTCCTGGTCTTTACGCTGCTGGCGAGGCGGCGGCTGTCTCTGTTCACGGCGCTAATCGATTAGGCGCCAATTCGCTTTTGGACATTGTTGTGTTCGGCAGAGCATGTGCACACCACATATCCAAGCACTTGACGCCAGGGAAACCTCACAAGCCGTTGAGCGAGGTGAGTGCCCCGCGAGTTCGGCAGGCAAAACACTACAGCTCACACGCTATGCTTGTCAGGGCGCAGGGGAGGAAATAATAGCAACTCTAGACAGAGTGAGGTTTTCCAGCGGAAGTCGCAAAGTTGCAGACCTGCGGCTTGAGATGCAAAGAGTTGGTTTTATCATCCCGTTGCCATTTGTTTTAATTTTCTTAGGCGTGCGCATTACAAATTAAAGGTCATGCAAAACCACGCTGCCGTGTTTCGGGACGGACCGACTTTGCGGGAGGGCATTGAGAAAATCGACCAATGCAACAAAAACCTTGAAGATCTCCAATGTACATTCTGATTGAACAGTTCTGTTTTAGAGGACAGCTTATTGGTCTCCTGACAGTATATGACCGCGGCCTCATTTGGAACACAGACTTAATTGAGGCGCTAGAACTTTACAACTTGATGACGAATGCCAGGCAGACCATGTACTCGGCCGAAGCCCGAAGGGAGTCCAGAGGCGCCCACTCCCGCGAGGACTACCCTAAGCGCATTGATGAGTATGACTACAGCCGACCGATCCCCGGCCAGACTTACAATAAGGACCACTGGCGCAAGCACACCCTGTCGTGGGATCTGAATGGTTGTTAATTTTATGGACTTTCTTAAGGGAAATATAACAATTCTATCTAACACCCACCGGTAACAGGGAAAATAAAGCTAGCGTACAGACCAGTGATCGATAATACACTCGACGAAAAAGAATGCAAAACAGTTCCGCCGGTTATCCGGGTATACTGAGTGAGTAAGAATAGAAGAAATTTTAACAAGTCTGGAACTCCTACTACTTACAATAAAGCATAAAAGTCAAAATAAACTTTACACTTATTAATGTGATAAATAAGCCACCTCGAGTTTATAACTTTTGCTAGAAGTATATACCGATTACGCCAGTATAAGCTGGCTAGAGACTAGACCTCATATACATATTCTATACTAACTACTTATCCTAAAAACCAGTAAAACTAAGTTTTCTATAAAAAACTAAAATTTTTTTATCGAGATAATATTAATTGGATTACGTTACTCTACCTTAAACTTTTTTTTAAGAAAAAAAAAAGGATAGTCCTTTAAATATATTTTATTCTAATATATTTTCGGTTAAAAGCCCCTTAAAGCTGTCACAAGGAACGTAAGAAACAACGGTATAAAATTTGTCTCGGGACTTCTCATCTTGTTCTCTATGACGTGAAAGACGAAGGCGAATTCGACGAGGAACATTCCTAATACCCCTGGACCACACTTGACGATTCAAATTTACATCGATTCTGACGTCCCTAGTGCGCATTTGCTTAGAGGCAAATTTTTTGATCTCTTTAATGGCGCGAGGAGCCCGTTTTTTGAAAGAACTAATTTTAAAAAAAATTGAAATAGTTAACAAAAAAGACGATGAATCTATTAAATCTTACAGTCCGTGAATTCGCTTATGGATGTTTATAGTGCACTCCCGGGTAATAACTTCCCCTAAAATACCCTTTTTCTTAGAAAAAATAGACATGACTCCTAAAAGAGACCGCTTGTAGTGCAAGCTAGGTTTTTAAAAAAATATTTCACGGGTCAGAAAGTAGGTGGGGGAGTAAATCTTTATAGAAGAACCCCTTCACTCGCAACTTAAAGTTTATAACACGTGGGCGAGGGCTTTGCTCATTTTGCCTCTGCTACAGCCTCTAAGATTTTTTGTCTGGATAACGAAAATTGACTAACTCGTATATAAGGCTTACTTTTATCGAACGTAGTTAAGTATATTGATTTCTTCGTGCTCCTTTTTCTATGGCGCTTAAGTTTTTAAATAAATAGTAAACTATTGTGCTATAGGGTGCAGATTTTTTAGTGGATAAAAAAGCTTGGATCAAGGTCAAGTGCTTCTGGGGTCAATCTAGAATACTTTTCAAACAAAATACGCCACGAACATTTTCCAAACAACGCTGGAGTTTTTTGAAACTTTTGCTAGGCTATAAATGGCGGAGTACTAATCTTGTTTGGTTTTGCTGGTGGCGCACCCACCCGTTTTTAATACAGAGGTGTTAGTTGCAAAAATTTGTTATTTAATTTATAAATCCCTTACTTGAAATTAATATAATTCATACAGTTAATGACAAAACGAAGGGTTTCATATTTTTATGACCCAGATGTTCCCCACTTTCATTATGGTTCAGGCCACCCTATGAAACCGCAAAGGCTTGCACTTACTAACAGCTTGGTTTTTAGCTATGACTTGTATAAAAAAATGGAGGTTACGTTTTTAATAAAAACTTTTTATATACTTCAGTGGCTTAAATTTTATATAAAACATTATTTATTAGTTATTATTTTAGATTTATCGATCTTACAAAGCTACAGAACGTGATTTAACACGTTTTCATTCAGAAGAATATATTGATTTTCTTAAAAGAATCACACCTAATAATATTGATGAATTTAGCTCTAGTTTATCTCGTTTTAACATAGGTACTTTCTTTTAAAATGAAACACTCGTTCTATTAAAGTGTAAAGATAAGGAACAAACTATGTTAGAAAAGTTTGCTTGTTCTATGCTTCTAAAATTTATGAATAAAAATTGACTTTAGGGGAAGACTGCCCAGTATTTTCAGGGATGTACGATTTCTTTTGCATGTCGGCGGGAGCATCTATTGAAGGTTTACTCTATAAATAATATTATTAAATTTATTGATATTTTTTTTTGGAAGGTGCAGTTAAGTTAAATAACCAGATGTGTGATATTGCCATTAACTGGTCTGGTGGCCTTCACCACGCCAAGCGCTTCGAAGCTTCTGGCTTTTGCTACGTTAATGATATCGTGCTTGCCATACTCGAACTTTTGAAGTATTATTTAATATCTGGTTTCCTCTTAAATAAGATGTGTTTTTGTTTTTTTAATATAATTATTATAATTGGCGCAGTAATGCTAAAAAATCGTATTACCTCAAGTTTTATTCCTTTCACTATTTTTTGGTTTAAAAGAAGGTTATAAGTATTTTAATTTTATTTTTTTAGATATCATCCTCGAGTCTTGTACATTGACATCGACGTTCACCACGGCGACGGCGTTCAGGAGGCGTTTTACTTAACAGACCGCGTGATGACCGTTTCTTTTCATAAATTCGGTGCAAACTTTTTTCCGGGTACCATAGAAACAATTACTGAAGACTTCCTTTTCTTGTTCTTATTGTGCTCGCGTGCTCGGTAGGTACGGGCGACTTGTACGAGCTGGGAGCCGACCGTGGAAAGAACTATTCCATCAACGTTCCTTTAAAAGTTCTTTTTCTTTTACTAATTGACTCATGTATATCTGCGACATTTGCTTATTGTAGGACGGCATAGATGACCACAACTACCTTCACTTGTTTCGGCCCGTCCTTCAAACCGTGATGAGCTACTACCGTCCCACCGCTATTGTACTTCAGTGTGGCGCCGATTCGTTGGGTTTGCTACTCACAACAGTATTGAAAATTGTTGGCATTGTTAATACTTTTATCAGGTAACGATCGGCTTGGTGGGTTTAATCTTAGCATAAAAGGCCACGGCGAATGTGTGAAGTTTGTCAAAGTTCTTTTATTTGCCTCGTTGCACTTTCCTCTGACTTCACAGCGTCCTTATTTCTTTCCTATAGAGCTTTGGTGTGCCGACGCTCGTGCTGGGGGGCGGCGGTTACACTATCCGTAATGTAGCCCGCTGTTGGACTTACGAAACCGGCGTGCTTTTAGACGCTCAGCTAAAGTTCTCCTCCTGGCTGCTGTTAAATTATTTCCTTATTTTTTTTAATTTCAGTCACGTTCTTCCCATGAACGACTACTTTGAGTACTTCTCTCCGGACTTTTGTTTGTTCCCGGATCTCTCCAGCCACCTTGAAAATATGAATAGTCGCCAGTATTTGGAGCAAGTAACCATCTTTATTCCTCCATTATTATTTTTAATTTTTTTTAAGTTAAAGCAAAAAGTCTGTGAACTTTTAAGACAGTTAGAAGGCGCTCCCAGCGTTGCTATGCATTCTTTTCCTCCTGACATACTTGGCCAGGTCGTACTTTAACTTCCTTGCTTTGGTCCCAATTTTAATAATTCACTTTTATTCTGTATATATTTTCATTTGTTCTTGAAGATTTTTTTTTTCTTTGCTATTTTATAATTAGAAATGAGTATTATTAACTTTTATTTATAAAGGCGTTAAAGGAGGACGAGCAAGAGACTTTTTACAATAAATTTTCTGAAAATGATTATTATGACCACGAGCAAGACATTGACAAAGATCCTCATTGAGTTTAACACTTAGCAGTCGTTACTGTGAGGATTTAATTTTTAATTATAATAGCTAATTTATCAATTGGGACTTCCTTTTAATTTTTATGTAGTCTATAAGTTAGCTTAATGAATTTAATTGGGATCTATAAATATAATTTTGGTTTTGGTATAGATTATAAAGCTGTTTAAAACTGTAACAGAAACAATAAAAACCACTTTTTTCGCATACTTACTTTGTAATAATGTGGGCCTATTCATAGGAAAAAACACCAGTGGTGGTTAGTAGAAAAATTAACATTGCGGATCAGCCAATTTTAGATTTTATAAAGGGGATCTGCGAGGAAGATGTATTGGCAGATAAATACAAAATGACTTCTTCAAACTTTTTTTATTATATACAAAATTTCTCTCAATTACCATTCATTGTTTTATTTGTGTTAAACTAATCAAATTTTATTTAATGCACGCTTAAACAAGTTTGCGCTAAATTAAATCCCTTTTATTTTCATGATTGTGTTCTTTTCACCCTCAAAATGCGTAGTTTTCTGTAAAACTGTAATGCCTACAACAAAAGTATGTTAAGAAAAAGCTCCGAGAATATTTTTTTTTCTCAATTATATTAGGACATTCTTCGGGTTTCTCCGCAAGTTACAAAATTAATATTTAGTACATCCACAATTTGTCTGCTTGTAAGCAATTAAGAATAATCTTTGAAGTTTTTCTTTGAGTACGCACTTCTGCTTTGATCTTCATGCAAAGTTAGCCAGTATTTTGTGACGAAGTCTAATATTTTTTTTATGCTTGTATTATAAAAATATTCTGGTTTTAATTAACTTTTCAGAGTCTAAGTATTGTACTGCGCAAGGTTAAGTAGTAGATATTTTGTTAAACTTGAAGTTTTGTGTATTTTTTTCACTACTTCTCTACTATACCAAGGAAAAGCGTTAATAACTTATATTTATTGGCTTTGCTAGTTAAAAGTTGAAGAAAAAAACCATTTTTGTAACAATTATAAACGGTTGCACCAACTGGGAAGAAATAACATATTTGAGAGTAAATGGCATAACATTCAAAATTTGTTTACTTTTACTGACGAATTCCTTTGCAAGAGTAATTTTTTAATTGTAAAAAATTTTGATTACGCGATTCACAGGTGAAATTTAAAGAACGAAAAAACACTATTTGTTATTCAAAAGTAATTTATATACAATTAACAGTATATGCAATAGCCCCTTCCAGGCCCCCAAATATTTTAAGTGTTAAGTGCAGATGACTTTTTTTATAAAAAAATTCAGGTTTCAAAGTAGTTAAAACTAGTTGAAAACTTTTTAAAAATATCAGAGAAATAATTTATTAATTTTTATAAACTACATACGACACAATGGCTTGTCTTTATACCACGCGAAAAAAACATACTGGCTCAACATTTGAGACTAAAAACTTTGTTTATGTTAAAAGCGGAAAATAGATGACGAGCGCAAACTCCAAGTTATCATTTATAAGCATACGCAGAAAAATTATTATAAACTTGACTAACAAATTCAAATATACTTTACTTAATAAATTTTAATATTATAATAAGCGACAATGCCTCGCTAGTCTTTGACTCTACGGCAGTCATCCGCCAGTTAATAACCTATGTTATTGCTACTTAAAGCAGTTCGCGCCATTTCAAATTTGGTGTAACTAAAGCAAATTGAAAAGATTTTACACAAAAAATGCAAATTTAGAACTGCTACCTAAATTTATAAAGCGGATGCCGATCCAAATGAGGGATATCTAAGAAAAATGCTTTAATTCTTCACACGTTACATAGTAACTATAACTACATAACTAAAAATTAAATACAGATTATTAAAAAATTGATATAATTTAGTCTTCATAATTAAAACATGAGAGGTCAGGAAGAAAGTTATTCCAATTAAAATAATCAGTGAAAGCTTATGTTTATTTAATTTTCTACTTACGAAGTGAAGATGGTAAGCCTTCCTTTCAACCACAGCAGTAAAGTAAACTTTTCCTAAGTTGTAAACAAGTTAAGAAAATGGCTTACAATAATAATTGTAGTGTTAACAAGTATCTGTTACCAATTTGAACAAAAAAGTAATTAACTAAAATCAGTTCAGAATGCTAACAAGGCTTTTTTGAATCTTCAAAATAATTAAAATTTTTGCGATTTTAGTTTTAACCTTGCAGCGTTATCTTCAAAAAGTCCATAAAATCTGTTTTTAAAAAATATATATTTGTATATAACTATATATATACTAACTAACTATTATATATAACTAGGATGCAAACTGTGACAGATTTCTAAATATATACTAAAGGCGGTAAACGGTATTTAACACAGAAAAAAAACTCTATAATAAAAGAATAGTTATAAAAAATATAATAAACTAAATATTTAGATTTAGCCAGTTTGTATAAAGTAAAAAACTTTCACAGCAATGCTAGCCAAAATCGTTGTTTTGGCGACTCATTCTTCACATGTTGTCGTTGTAAGTACGCAACAGCGAATGGGTATTGAGCCGCTAATAATAATAATTGTAATAATTATAATAATAATAAAAGTACAGATAACAAGTCGCCTAAGTTTCGTAGAAAAGATAAAGAAACGTCCAAGAGTAATATGTTCTCTTTTTAACAACCTTGTTAATATTTCTTACCTGTTTTATATAGTTTATAAGGAAAAAATAAAAACTTTAGACTTAACCTCAGTTAATAATCCTCTAACAAAGTGAATAATGGCCCATCCGGCAAAATATTTTTTTAAAACAGGCTTAAAAGGTAGAAACATAGGACAAACCCCACAATTTTCTATGCAACGTAAAAAGCAAAAAAACCAAAGAGCACGCGGATAACAGCGTTTAAATAAAACGGGAAAAAAGTTGCCCCTAGGAAGTGCGTGCGCGCTCGCTTAAAAATTTGAGCTCATGCTTCGGTTTTCCGCGTGGCAATCTTTATTTAGTTTAACATGCTATAGTTAAAATTTATTAAAGGCTTAGCAGTTATTAATTAAAAAAAAACATTTCCAACATGCATCTACTTTTTCGACCTGGTAAGTTTAGAAGCTCTCGGCATAATTATAGAGCTCTGTCATAATGGGAAAGTTGATATAAATGCTGCTTACAAATCACCCGACAGACATATACATAAATTTAACGTTGAGGAGATTTTTGCGGATTTATCAAGCACCTTAATAGCAGTCCTTTGTTAATAGAAGGCTGAAGAATACCATGGAAAAAGGATTGCTAATATAGCCGATGAAAAATGTTTAATGGTTAATGGTAAAAAGGACCCCACACATTGCACAGTCAATGGGGCTTGTGACTTTTTAGATAACACGCTAACACAGTATCACGTATCTGTCATCGTCAATACACTATTTGAACTCTCTTCTGATCAGCTCCGGCCTGATAGAAAGGGAGATAAGTCGGCCTCGAGCGCCTGGGTTGAAAAGGTATCTAGTTGGCCAACATTTAGGGAACTTTTAGACAAAAGTGTAGAGACCATGATGCACGCCTTTAAGAAGCCCCTTATTTAGACATGGCCGTTGTGCAAACGGAGAGGCTATAAAAAAAAGATCTATAGTATACCTACTTCATTTAAAGAACGCAAAAACTCGCAATATGACTCGCCAGACCATTTTCAGATCTCTGATTAAGAGAAGACGAAGGTAGAGGGCAAGATAATATACGAACTCTTGTTTCCAGGCAACAGAAAACTTTATAAGATTAACACTCGAAGGAATTGAAATCTCGGTTTAACGAGAGCTTGCAGAATAAATCAGAGTCTTCTGGGCCTGAGAATTATTCCCTTTGGAAATTAACAAAAGCCATTCGATCTATTGAGACTAGGGACCCAACACCGCCCATCCATGGCGCTGGAGGTTCAGCGACGATACCTTTAAAAATAGTAGAGGGATATGGCGACTCACTGGAGGTCTACTAATTTATGTTAGGAAAGTTCTACGCAAACGAACACCATCTCAAGCACGCATCCACCATAGTTACTGCTTACCTTTTAAGATCTAGTATATGTAACAAGTTTAACCTTACCACCATTGCAGAACTTAAAAATTGTAATCCAACCCCTTAGTATAAGGAAAGTCTCAAAGGTATTTCTAATTTAAAGCTTAAAAATTTTTAACTTTACGAGTTATTTATTTAATGTTAAGGTTAACTGATCAAATACTTACCATTGCCTATCCCAAATGGTTGAAATTAGCAGAAGTAATTTTCCTACCAAAAACGAGGCCCCCTAGCCATTTTCCCAAGATATTCTTAATAAGCTTGTTATCCTCCTAGGATAGGTGGCAGAAGCGGTCATCCTTTCTAGATTACAAGAATTTGTGGAAAGTATGTGCGTCTTGCCTAATTTTTAATTGGGTTTTCGAAAAAATTACTCACGATTCACCAGATTATCAAACTTACAGAAAAGCTACGAAAGCTTTTAACAATAGATAAGAACAGGTGTGGTACTATGAGAAGGCTTTTGAAGCACGATGGTATAGGCTTCAATTAATTACCACCAGCCACCCTTTTTACTTAACTGCGGTGGCATACTCATGATAGAACCTTCATTGGAGGTCGCTATTACAAGATGGGTGTTTCACAAGGCTTCTTACTATTTTCTTTACTTATTTCTATCCACATGTTTGATATGCCACAATCGTCAAATATAAACTTAGCCCATGCTGATTACAAAGCCTTATATTATAGTTCAGAGTCCACCTAGTGGTATTAAAAAACATAGTCTTATCTGACAGTATTTGAGGCATGGTTTTCAGCCTGGAGCTTACTTCCCCAGACACCTAGACTCTCATTAAAGTTAACTGTCATTCCTCGAAATAGGAAGGTTAAACATCTCGTAGTTATGCTTCACTACAGACTAAGCTAGGTTCGCATCTTTAAGTCGCTTATAGAACAGGCAAGCTATAGCCGTTTTAAAGTCCTTACTGTGCAGGAAAAGCAAATTGCTTTGAAAAAAACCTGTTATACAAATTGGTTATACGAACCGCTGATGGTCTATGCTTCTTCAGCCTAAACTGCTCTCCCCTCAAGCAAACATTTATCGCTACAAATACTACAAAATTGCGTTCTTATTTGGCGCGCAGCAGACACTGAGTGTAGCCTCGAGCCTATTTAGGAATATCCATATAAAATTTCACGAAACTGACTTAGTAAAGTCAGGAGGCCACAACTTACTAATTCGACAGGCTCTTGCCTATTCCTCTTTTTTGGTACCTCATGTGCTCACGTTAAAACATTTAGATCTATTAGAAGGGGTGTGTCGCTAAGTTTATAGCTTAATTTATTGTTATTTATAAATTTTTAATAACTATTTTATTACATGTAATATTATTACTTTGCTACTGCTTTTTTATTGATTTATACGATTTAGCTGTGATGACAAAACGAATTCGTTTTTCTCATTGAGGGCGCAATAAAATGTTTGGGAAGTTTTGGCTTCCGCGCCCTCAAATGATAGAGGTAAAGTAGTTCAAGCAGCAATTAATTATAAATCATGCTTGTAGTAAGCCAGAGCTATAAGTTAAGAAATAAAATATAAAAAAATATATTAAGGAATTAATTTTATCTAAATTATAAATAAATATAAAGATAACAGTACATTTTCTCTGCTTGTAATTTATTGATTCATAGTACTACAGAAATACGCAATATAATTTTTAATCCTGCATCTAATACCAACGTGTATCGCGTAGAACTTTAACTTCATACTAGTGTATTCGAGTTAAAAAATTCTTAGAAGCGCTATGACTCAATAACTTCTCTTGCTACCACCCAAGAAATATATAGGGCTCAGCAATTTAAATAAAAACTTTGTTAATTTCAAAATCGAAAAAAAGATGACGTCCGCTAAACTCCGAAGTGAACATTCATAAACATGGGCAGAAAAATTATTATAAACTTTACTAACATATTTTATTATTAACTTTATAAGATTAAATAATGTAATAAGCGAGATACTGCTTAGTATATCATTTAGATGGTAGCCTAAGGGTAATTAAAGAATTTGTTATTTTAGTGCATTTACATATCTACTTTAGTGACTGAGGTATAATAAAGATTTTTCAGTATGAAAACTATATTATAATTTATTATTTCACAAGCCAGCGACACCCCCCACGAAAGAAGCAGGTCACCCCTCAACCACACTATAGAAGCAAAATATCTCTCGAGCCGCGCTACTGGCTATTTACAACCAGCCCTCACTAAGTTTTGTGTACTTATTAACTACAAAATAGTCTAAAATAATTATCCTTAGATGTAAGGTTTTAAACCTACTCTTTCTAAACTGGTGTGGCGGGGCCTACAGCTTTATACTTACTAGTATGTAATCGGTTTATGAGCCTAATGTACTAGTTACAATTTTATAATTTGAAATAGTGTTAGTGTGCAAAATAGCTTTGAATTAAATGGTGGTTTACAAGCTAGAAAAATAAGAACTTACTAACAAAAGCAAACAATACAATCATAATAGTTAAAACTGAATTAAGAAAAAAATAGTGTTTAATTAATAAACTAGGAGAAAATAAGGGCATTGAGCTTTAGAATGCAAACAACGAGCCGTATATGTTGCCGCTCTACAATCTTCGGTTTTGTTTTATACTTTCTTTAAAGCTTTGAAGCAATAATGAATGTTGCTAATTAAAAATACTGCGTCGAGCAAGGCACAGTAGCGCACCTTCATCTGAGCACAACCATGCCGTTTTAACACAATTTTCTTATTTGAGCTACTTTCAAACGTTAAAATATAGTTAGCAAATTTTTTTTTTATATTCTAAAGTATAATTATTATAATGGGTGCAATGCTGCCATTATTTACAGCGTTTTAAACAATTTTGCTCTACTATTTTTTTAAACCTAAAAATTATTTTAACAATAAATAAGTTTTATCCTTTTATATGCCTTCACTAATTTTGAATCAACGAGTTTTCTTTTTGAGGTTAATGAAAATAATAGAAATATTAAACGGTAAATATAATTACCTAATCTAACACTCGTAACCTTAGTTAAGAGCCGCAAAATGCGGTGTTAACTTACTACGATTGCCTCGTAAATATAACAGTCCTGTTCAACCCAGTTAAAAGTAGAAAATCTTAGATATTTCTCTATTAGTACTGGCCCCTAAGTTATATTTTTACTTTATTTGATTTGGTTAAAGAATTTTAAGTAATTTGCTTCGCCCCATTAATCTCATATATATTATAACAACTTTAATATTGGACAAGTTTATTTATCAAAAATAAGCATACTATTGAAATAATTGACTCCCGTTACGCGACATCGTTAAAATATAGCTTAGTCCCGGCGTTTAAAAATGCTACAGAAATTTTTATTCTTCAAGCTTCTAATTAAACACACTTTACTGAATTGATCTCGAAGGTCTAATGGGCATACCTCATTAAAACAAAATAGAAGTTAGCTCATGAAAGCACTAAAAAAAGAAAGTAATTTAAACAAGTGTTTTTATTATGAATATTTTTAATATTAATTAATCAGATTTTGAAACCTTCATAGATTGAGAGTTAATAATAATCGAGACATTCAAAGCTTTTTTTATATTACTTTACACGAAATAAATGAACGTAAACAGAAATTTACATCTTTTTAATTAAGAATTAATTCTGCAGTGAAGTCGTAAAAATTGATAGAGGAAGATAGCAATTATACAAGTGTACGCGCTGGCTTCTATATATTTATGTTACCTTATCATAAAATAATTTTGTTGAAAAACTTAATATTTTATTATTAATAATAAATATATTAATTTATAAGCGATAACTTACGTTAGGTGATTAAAATTAGAAATGAAACATACATAAAAATGCTAATTTTTTGTTCTAAAACTATATTTATTATTTTCAAAACTTTTACTAAAATTTTTAACAAGCCAGACCTCTATTTACAAAACTTACACTCTATTACTTCTAGTATAATTTCTGATAGTTATTCGGTTTTAAGTACTAGTGTATTTCATAGAAAATGTCTTTTTTTTTAAATTTCAGTATTCGTAAGTTCAAACTTAGGTAAAGCCAGTTAACTTTAAATATAGCTGATTGGTGTACACAGTGCACCAATAGTTTTGTGGAATTAACCGCTTTTGTTCTGTTATAAATTTTTTTTTTTTAGTTTGATATGAATCGTTATTTCATATAAATTAAGATAAAAAATAAGTCTTTCTTAAACTTTAAGTTGGAGAAATATATAGAAAAAGTGGACAGAGTAACTTTTTATATTCTTATACTTTTTTTGGTTACAATATTTTTACTATTTTATGTTTAAAGTTATAGTGAAGCTTTCTTTTATATTTATAACCCTAATTCTTTGTACAATTATTTCTAGGATATTTTCTTATAAATTTTAGGACGTGTTATTTACCTATTTTTTGAAAATGTGTTTATTTAACACTTATATTTTCACTTTTTAAAAGCTTTGTTCGGGCTCTTTTATTCCTTTATTCTCTTTCCCTAAAGAGACTATAAAATTTTACTACTTAAATTTTCAACTTTAAGTATATTATTGTTTTTTGTGTCCTTGCTATAGTACACATTGTTCTTTTAAACTATTTATGCCAAGTAGCACAGTGTTAGGCGACCAGAAAAAAAATGACTGCCTTTTTCTAAAATTAAAACTGAAGCCGAGTTGAATACAAAAGAGGATATTAATAGGAGAGCTAGACGGTACTCTTTTTCTTTTCGTCTATTAAAGCTTTTATAGAATTTTATAACTTACATGGGAGCTCTATAATTTTTTTTAAAATTATTAAGTATTAAAGACTTATTTAAATATGAAATTTACTTTAGCGGTAGGTTAATAATAAAAAAATTGATAACTTTTAGATGGCACCTATGTAGCTTTGAAAAACTTAGAGTTAAGAAGTAATATATTATAGTCGTAAAATTTTCGTAGCACTAATCTATAATTTTTATAACTTTAGCTTGTTAAATAAGTTAACTCCGGATAAATATGATATTGTTGAACAGTTATTAAAGCTTCCTTTTCTTGAGCTACCTGTCCTAAAGGGATTTATTGCTTTGGCATGTCTATCCTTGTTTTAGTATTTTCTAATTCTTTATTATACTGAAGGACATAGCTTTACAGGCTTTTGAAAAGGCGTGTCGTGAGCCCCATTTCAGCTCCATGTATGCCCGGATTGTGCGTGATCTTCTCCAAACTACCTCCTTTATAGTGCGTGCTCACCACACTTCATTTTGAAATTACTTTTTTGAGCGGTTATTTATTATTAAAATTTTTAATCACTAGCCGATGTGCTGTTAGCTGTCGGGAGGAAGTACGAGTTCGCTCTAGTGCTGTTGGAAAGAGCAATTTTGAAAAATCATTCTTCCCTAAAGATGTTCTTCTCGGCACTATCAAGTTTATTGGAAAGCTTGGAGCACTTAGTCTTGTACTTCCTGACCTTCTGGATTGGATTCTACAAGAGCTACTTGGGGAGGTGCCAGCCTTTCCTCTCCGTTTCTTGTCTTTGCTTGATATTACTAGTTTTCTTTTGCAGGGAGAAGACTTGAATTGTCTTTGCCTGCTGCTTCAGACGGCGGGTTGGCTGCTGGTTAAAGAGCGCCCTTTACTTGTGGAAGGCCTCGTGGATCGTCTGCAGAGGTTTTTGGCGGCCAGCAAGCCATCCAGTCCCCACGCTGCCTACTGGAGGTAATGTTTTAAAGTACTCATAGCAAATATAAATGGACTTAAGTTGTCTGGTACCAAGCATGTTTTAAAACTCATTACACGAAATTGAACTTCAGATGATGTATATTACTTACGTGACTTATGAATGTCTTACACTTCGACTTTAAACAAGAAGATCTTAATGGATGAACGAACCTTCCTTCCCTGCCCTCCTCTATTCCAGGCTCTTTGCATAAAGCTCGCCAAGCCCAGCAACTTTCAAGGCCGTCCCTTCACTTCTCTGATTTTACTCGCTCGCCTCGCAAATCTCGTGCTCTGCCATCCCCCTTTTTGTTCCACAGCAAGCACAGGGCTTGCTTTGCAGACCGCCTTGAGTGCGACCCTCTACCCGCCCTTCCTCCTTTGATGTCCAACCGCATCCCTATACTGTAATGCCTTCTTGCTACGCCGCTTCAGACGTCGGGGTTCTAATAACTTCACTACCATTCGTCTGCTTTAGTCTTTTCTTTTGCACATCGCTTTTTAGGAAGATCCGGAGCTCAACCGTCTTAAAGATTGGAGAAAAGGACAGCAACCGCAACCAGCAACTTTGAGGTCCCAAATTGCTCTCATCGCAAGCGGGCCGCCTATCATATCTAGAGAGTTTGAAAAAAAAATGCCTTTAGAGGCATGAATGCAGAAAGTGACCACAAAGTCGAAACGGAAGTCGACTTACTCGCGTCTTCTCTGGAGAGGGTACTTGTTATTACCCTTTTTTAAGTATACTGATAAACTTTTTCTTGTATTTACTTTGTAATTATTTCTTTTTAGAACCACTTTCAAGTGACGATGTAGTAGATGTAAGCCATCTATAAGCAGATTTAATGCATTCCCGTTAAGTTGTTTGCTTCAGGACTTTCTGACTTGTGATGCAATTTTTAAACTGGCCCCAGCCGATTTACCGCCTCAAAGGATCGCCAGTTGTTTGTGGAAACGGTTATCACGCGATATTTAGACTACAGTGAAGAGAGCGTATAGAAACTTGACCATCTTATTGTGGCACTCTATAAGCGGAAGGTTCTTACACGTATTGAAATAACTGACGGCATTAAAAGTTTGTTCAGCGACCTCCCAGCCGCCACGGCGCGCTTCCCACTGATTCAGGCTTTCTTCTCCACTTTGCTTGTCTTGTGGATCTTCAAGAAAGTTATACTAATTGGAGATGTCTATGAACTCTGTAAAGTCCACCAGGCAGTTCCATTTTACTCGTCTACGCTCAAAGAATTGCTTACTTTAGCTGGCGTTGTAGTGGTATTTGAGTTCTATTTATTATAAGTCATTTTACTGAAAAATTTCTACGTACTCAAGACGCAGAATCTCACAGGAAAGGCGAAAGCTGAACTATCAGCGGCCTTTTCGTCGGAGAAGAAGTCCGATCTGCTAGACACGATACTTACATACGGGAGTTTATTTTTCTTTCCTCCGTGTTGTGTGTTAAGGCGTTAGCGGAGTGTAATTCCACCCCCCCTCCCGTTCCCCAGGAGCTGGCCTCGCTGTACCCGCTTGTAGTATTCGAGATTGCGCACACGTTAGAAAGTACAGAAGATATGGGTAACCTGGAGGGCTTCCTAAAGGATACCAACTTGGGGTCACCCGACTTTGCTTACAGCCTTACTAAAGTACTTTTGGAGTTTCTTTGTGCCAGGTCGGCTTATTAGCCAACTTAGTGAGAGTCAAGCAGTTGAACTACATTGGGTCCACCCTGCTTTACTATGTTTGTCTAAAGCTTGTTGACCTTTTTTAAAATAGTTTCGAAATTATTTACCGCTGTTAAAAGGCGTTATCAGAGGCCAACGGGAAACGAGCCGCCACTCTGTACTCTCTTCAAGTCTTTTGTCATGAACACGGCTTTCCTTTGGATTTTATGCAGAGGGGTTTTATGTATTTGTAGAAGTTCGGCATATGCCCAGCAGAAGCATTCCCGCAGTGAAAGACGAAGTAAACGACCGGTACAAAGTGAAAGGACGAGCACTGTTCGAAGTGAATAATTGGTTGGACCGGGTGGGGGAGGATGTCGAAGACGACGACGACGAAGGCGAAGGCGATAGATAGCGATCAGGAAAATGTTATGAGGAGGCTTCAAAATGCTTAAGTGGCATCACATTCCGTTGTTGGTTGTATATCCACGTTATGTATATAAAAACTTTTACTTCTTTTTTTTTTTAACTGTTATGTCTATGTAGAGGTTTACATATCTTATGGGGAACAGGAAAGCTAATCTTAGGTCATACGAGGTCGAGACCCCGCTGCTTTCTTACCCTTCCTGTTTGCAGCTTTCACAAGTAATACTGTGCGTTTTTCTTCCTCCAGCTGTCCCTTTCTTATAATAAAGTTTCTGCTTTCCTTATTGAAATTTACGCACTGAATTTATTAGTTACTCCAATTTTTCCTAAGCGAATTGTTCTTTTTAGGTTGTTAACTGAAAAGTTAAGCAAGTTTACTAAGTAAACCTAGAAGCGAGTAGCTCCGTGATTCTCACAAGTTTTCGTATTTTCATATAAATTAATAGGTTATAACTTAAACTTTTATGTCAAGTAAAAATTATTACTAAGATCCAAATTTAAGCTTTATTAAAGAACATGTTATACCTCTAAAGACCATCGCCACAGAGAATTTCAATAGTTAAATCGTATCATAGTTATTTTTTATTGTTAATAAAATATTTAATGATATTACTTTTAAAAATTTAGAGATAAGACAGTATGCTGCGTTCACTGTAATTATCTGCATGTGTTGCATTAAACTGCATTCTCGCTTAGTTAAGTAGAAGAGCCTTTTATGTATCAAAAAGGGTGGCTAATTGCTAAATATCCTTATAAACGTAGTCTTCAACCGTAGTTATGCTTCTCTTTATTACAATTTATAATTGTACAGACGCTAGGTAAATTCTAGTGCAAACTTTTTACGCGTAGTTTATATGCAGTTTCCGCAGGTCAGAATTGCTTCTCTACAACACTCGCAATTCCATTGGTTACAAAGTTACTCGCAAGGAACCGCAATACAAAAACATCAACATTTGGTAATTAATCATACACATACAAATTTCATTCTTACTAGGTTATATAAGATCCCATTTGAAAAACGGCCGTAAGTTTTATATACCAAAATATGATGTATATCGTCAAGATTGGGAAAACATGGGAGGCGGAGGAGTAGTTATCCTTGTTAAGAGACATAAAGAACTCAAATTTTCCCAAATTTAAAAAACTAGAAGCTACCGGTGTATGCATCACTTTAAAAAAACTTGGTTCAGCGAATATTATTTCCTGTTATAAGTCGCCTGGGAAAGAATTATTGAAAAAGGACTTAGATTATTTAACAATACTAACCCAGTCATTGCTTGTGGAAACCTAAATAGCAAGCATTCTTCATAGAAAAGCAGGAAGGACAATACAAATGGCAAGATTCTAGAACACTGGGCGGAAAACAATGGAACTTTGTTTCAGCCCCTTTTGCACCGCACATTTCCCAACTAGAGGCTCCGCTAATGTGTTAGCCATAGACTTATTAAAAAACTGTTCCTGTGCACATTATTGGCCTACATGAACTGTCGTCAGATCTTGATCGGTATTATTACTGGTTGGAAATTTAAGACGGGCCAACATAGACAGGAGTCTAAAGGTAACCAATTGGAATCTTTTTAAAAATACAGTGGTGAGTAACTTATCACGCTATCCGATCCCTACCTCTTCGTTTGAAATTGATGCTGCTGTCTCTTTTAAAACATAATAAATTACTGTGAACTCGTCAACAACTCAGATAATCGAAAATAACTTTAAATATAGCCTTCCCTCTCACCTTAAAAACTTATTAATAAACGTAGGAAATTAAAAAGAATATTTATTGAAAGGAGCTCCTGTGACAAGTTAGCCTTTAACAAAGTAAGTAATACGGTTAAACGCGGATTAAACGCTTTTTATAACAACCTTTGGGATATGAAGCTAATATCTTTAACTTCGTCCGATAATTCTATGACAAAATCTTTTAAAACTCAAACTAGAAAAATTAATCTACAACTATTATATAATAGAGGAGAAAATGCTTAATCCAATAAGGAAAAGGACGCTTGTCCTCTCAGCACAAGCCCACCACTATCTCTAATACAAATGGCTATTTCGTGCATAATTGAATACTATCTTACTTCCGCAAAGACGCATCACCTATAGATTCTCAGGTGTTTACAAATGAAAAGGGGGTTCAAAAATTAAGTTAATGAAAGTAGGGGCCCTGATGGTATATCCAATCTAGTGCTGTAAATCTTCCTTCAGTGGCTATTGTGTACCTTTCAAAACTAATTAATTCTATTTTTTATTAAGGTTACTTTCCTACAAGATGGAAACAATCAGAAGTTATATTGTGCCAATAAGTAACCATACTAGCAATGCTAAAGATTATCGGCCAATTAGTTTACTATTGTGTTGGCAAAATTACTGAATCCACGATACTCTCCAGTTTAAAAAAATCCCCAAATTCTACAGTCTTGTCTTCCCCCACCAATTTGGCTATTGAGGAGGGCACTCCACAACACTGCAAATTTAAGGATCGTAGGTAACAATACAAAAGCCTTTAATTACAAGAAATCAACAGTTACGGTGTTCTTAGATATTGAAAAGCTTTTGATAGGGTGTGGGATGAGGGACTTATTTTTGAATTAATTATATAAGTGATTGTCAGAATATGTTATTCGCGAGGTGTATTCATTTTTTTGCAATAAAAGCTGGAGTTCCTCAGGGTTCTCTACTACCACCTTTATTATTCTCCCTATATCCATGCGACATCCTCCCTCCTACAAACTAAGTTTCCCTAGCTCTATACGCTGAGACACTGCCATATATTGTAGTTCAAAATCAACTGCACTAGTTATTAAATATGTGCAGGCTTTTTTTTATACACTAAAAATGGTTTGACTAGTGGAAATTTACGGTAGACCCCACCAAATACCACTCAATCATCTCAAGAAAAAGAGAAAAAGGAAAAATTTCAGATCAATCTCTATAGCAAACATCTCTTCCTTGGCGCAAGCAAGTAAAATACCTTGGCGTAATTATTAACTCTAGACTTAACTGGAAGCCTCAAATTAATTATCTTGTTAAAAAAATTAAGAACTATAACCTTTGCTTTACATCCTCTCATAAGCAAAGGAAGTTTTGAATCTTGAAAATAAACTTATATATAAAGCTATCATGGCAGACCTATTATTAGTTACTCATCTGTTTCAAGCTCTTACTGCTCGACTTTGTATAGAAGAGACTTCAAATTCTTCGAAGCGATCTTTTCAGTATGCTTACTGACGCACCTTGGTATATGCAAAATTTTCAATTGCATCATGACTATGAAATTTAGCCCTTTTTGCTTTACCTTGACGGATGGCTATTAAGATATTTTACACGGATACGGAGAACACACCACAATTTAATAGCTAACGCCTTGAACTATACCACCGCACAAATTTTTAAAATTTAAATGACTTATTTATTGGATCTATCTTAGAAAACCGAGTATTGAAACGTCCTTAGAACATTTATCACATATCTATAAGTTCTAAATTTTGGGGGTGAAATTGTGTTAAACGCTTAACTCGCAAAGATATTGCTGTCTTTATGTTATGAGAGATGACCCGTAAGGCCTTAACTTGTAAAGAAGACTACTCTTTTTAAACTTGTCCGTAATGAGGTAATTTAAATTAAGCAGTTTAAGTATAGCAGATATAACGACAGTAGTATGTCAAACGATAAATAAATAAAAAAGCTTAACTAGATCTTTTAATTGACTAGTTAGCTTATAATTAAAAATTATTTCAACCAACTTACATAAAAAGAACATTGGTAGCAACAAAAACTGAAACGACATAAGTGGTTTAGTACAGCAAAAGTAAACTATGTTTACAGTGAAACCTATGCTATTTTCTTCATGACAGCCCATGTGGTTATACCTTCATTTTATAGAAATTTTATTGGGGCTGTGAATTTTTAAAGTTACTACTGTTATTATAAAAAGCTAAAAAGCCAGTACGCGCCCACAACAGGTTTTACTTACACTAACAACTTTTTCCAAAAAAAAAAAAATTAAGTATTCAACAAATCTGACTATTGTCAGTTATAGTAACACTAAAATAAATAATAATAGGGATATTTTTAATTAAAACAGGGTTTAGTCGTGAGAATGCTGATGAACTAGCCTTCATTTTTTTATTTTGGTTGAAGCAACTACTTTTGACGAAGCTGAATAACCAAAGCAACCCTATATACTGCCCTACTTTTAATGCATACTTTATCAGATAGCCTGTATTGAACTTGGTTTAAATAAAATATTGTTTGCTTAACTAAAATTTCTCATTAAAACTTATATGAATCTTACCTAAAAAATATTAAATACTGCATTGTTTTATAAACTTCGACTGCGCTCACTAAACTGTTTATAAGCATGTTTACTTAAAAAAAAGTTGGAAGCGGGTACTCTTAGCGATATCATTTATTGTTTAATATTCCGGTTGCTATGGGTACTAACTTCAGAATATAAGGGCAAATCCGATTTGAATTGCATAAGTTCTGTAAAACATCAAAAGAAGATAAAAATTCTAAAAAAATCAAGTTTTTATTACTCTAAGCGACCTTATGAAGCAAAGAACACCAAAATTAAAAATTTAAACTTCTTAGAAGGCCTCAAGCTTGCACTAGTTAGCGGTGGCGCGACCTTTAAAAAATAGTAGAACTTGCAATGTGTAATGTTGCTTAAATAAACAACTAATCTTTTACTAATTTAGGACATAAACATGCAATGCAATTTAATCGGTTTACATTCAATCTATTTCTTTCTAACTATTAAGCGTTAACTACTCTGTTTGGAAAAAAAAGTGCAAATTTTGCGTGGAAATTGTAAATTGATCACTTGTGAGCCTATCACAATGAATATGAAAGCAAACATGTTATGCACGCACTGTGTAGTACTGTAATAGTGTTCCTGCCCTTTTAGGACGCCCGGTGTGATAAAGCAATTTAGCCAACCTGTTATTATTTCAACCTGTATAACACCATATATCTTGGAGAAGAGGGTCCTTATAAAAAAAAAGCAACTTTTTCTTTATAAAAGATAGAGCACGTATAAAAAGCTATAAAAGGAAGTAGAATACAATTAGGGCTGTAAAAAAGATTAGAGAACCCGTGCTTACAACTTAACGATTGTAGGAAGCGAAAAGTTAAATCAACTGTATACCTTAACATTCTTTAAATAAATATGAGTACTTGCACCCCTGGATTAGCTGAAGTAGCTGGGGGAGAAGGAAGGCTATAAAGCAAAACTTTGCATAGTGATAATTTTATTATCTCTTGCAAAGCATTTACGCTTCACTCACCTGGTATCAAAATGTTCCTCAATAGTGAACGGTAATAAACAAGAGTTTTCCAAAGCAGTTAGCGCTAATTACCTCAAAACTTTTAACCACTATTTTCTGAATTGGATGTTTATTATTATAGTTGTGCATTTTTACTTATTTCTTTATATAGAAAAGTGAAATTAATATAGCCGAACTAAGAGCATTAAGTCTTGTTATAGCTTAAGCTTACTCACTTTAATAAACTTAAGCTATACCCAGTGAAATAATGACTGTATATTCAAAATTTAAGCTAGCAATTAAAACTATATAATTTTTTTTTTCTTACATGTACAATATTTTATGTGGTTGTAGTAGAGTTTATTCAAAATAACTACGGTTTAACTCTCAGTAGTAAGTTTTCATTTAAACTTTATGTTAGTTTCAAAAGGGTTTCTTTACTAGCTTCTTATATATAAAGGTATTCTTATTGTTTTATTAATGAGGGAAAGAGAGACGGTTCAGTACTTTTCTTTTAGGAGTGTTTCCCTAGTCCCTATGTTTAAGTTATTAGTGGCATCGTTAGGAATGTGACAAGTTGTCAGGCGCTATGTTCTAATTAACTTTATCCAATATTAAGCTCTAACTAAGGAGAATAACTTAGACTATTTTTGTTTAATTAATTTTGTAGCAGTTCTTTTCTTTGTAAGTCAATTAATTTATTGCTATCTTTTCGGGGCTCCCGTCGCACAAATTCCCAAGAACTGCTTAATGATCAAATTATTTTCATTAGCATTGTTAAAGGTATTACAGGAAAAAACACACTTTTTGACTTTTACCTTTTTACTATTAATAAAAAGCCTGTTTAACTTTAAAATTTTTAAAATATTCATTATAAATACCTATTGTTTAAACTACCCAATAATATAACAAATATGTAAGTCAACTTATAGTAAAATGTTCACTCAATAACTTTGGTTTTTACACACTCTTTTTTAAATGCATTTTCAATGAGATAAGGTACCGCGTAATTAACAATCCTCTAAATCGCTCCCCTATCAATACTATTTTTTATAGGTATTTCTTTATAGAGTAAACTTAGTCATTCTCAGAGAAGGTAAATCTGGCTAGACAATAATTTTGGCATTAAACAAGAAAGGGTTTAAGATACTGCGTTATGCGCGTTGACAATCTATACACTTAAATAAACGTACTTTATTACCTGTATTACTGTAGGCTCATTTTACTTTAATATTTCACTTGACACCTGTAACTTTTTTTAGTATTCATCAACTGCTTTGACGGTCTGAAAAGCAAAATAGGGATTTCACTGTTTTCGAAAAAACAGGTGACCCTTAACCTAATTTAAGTCTGAGTCATAACAACCTTAGTTTTGGTTTTTCATCTGTCTTAAACAAAAGTTCTGATGTAGTTGTTTAGATGGGGTGGCGTCATCTAACACCTCAGAGACTTCTAGCCCGATATAAAATTTTCATCTTTTTAGCTCATGACTTCCTAGAGAGTTTTTATGCAACAGCCTCTTTGATCCACAGGTGCTGCTCATATGTTAAAGTAAAATCAATAGAAGTACAGAAATATAGGAAGCTAAGCTACCTACTATTCTATTTTTGTTCAACAATTATGATATTTTACCTAAGCTTTTATTTGATAAACTTATATATGTCTAATGAGTTTTAAATAACCTAACCGCATCTCTACTCTAAAATAGATTGAAACGCAACTTCGCCCACTTAAATTTAAAAGTTTGGAATTGTTTACATTTTAAATTACCTTAAATAAATTTAGGTTTATGGTTTAAGGTTAATACTACTCGTCTTAGGTACTTGGACACTCTTGGTGGTAGAATTGGGCTCTGGTGCTACCAAATGTCTCTCGGAACTTTTACGCCTAAAGTTTGCTGCCTGCTGCTAGGTGCAAGCCTATTTGCTTCTCTTTTTTCGATTATTGGGATCGCCTTAACAGCCACGTTGCCCATAGCTAAGGTGGGCATACATAGCCAAATGATATAACACACTCTGATAATAAGCATATAAATTTTTTTAATAAGGATGACCTGTTAAGTTATACAATTTTCAAAGGATTCATAAAAGAGGCGGGGACTTTGTATAGCTATCAGCTATCTAGTTGCAAAATTGATACAAACGGCGAAGCTACTAAAGAAAAAATCGGTGAGTTTAGCACTTTAAATTTAACGTTATAATATTTATTCATTTATAGTTAATTTAATTGAGCGAAACGAGGAAATCTGTGTGAAGTTTAACCAAAGTAACTACTCTCGACTTTTTTCTTTACATTTTTACTGATCAATTATAAGGCTTTGGCTTAGTTTTTTCCATAGGCTTTTGAAAACTCTTCTTTTATTGGTTTTTTTATTAGGGGGTATCTACGTATTCGTGGCTACTATAATTGCAGTTACGCTGAATTTCATAATTTTATGTCTTTCATCCCTACTACCCGTCCTATCCTTCATAGCTGCATTTTTTGGGTAAGTAATGTCCTTTAACTGCTTTTATAGTCGCTATTCACTCATTTATTATTAGAATTGCTGGAATAGCTGGCCTTGTATGGTTTGTAGTAATAGTCAAAAACATTATAAATTTAAGTCAGAACGCCTTTGGCAAGTTATACATAATACCTTTGTGCTTCGAAGTTTTGGCAACCGTATTGACTTTTTTTTACGGTTTTTACCATACTTTGAAAGTCGATAATGAACACTGCTAACAAACTAATGGTTTTGGAAATATATTCTATTTTTCATTATAATTTAATAAAGTGAAATTCTTACGACTTAAGCACAATGTTAAACAGGATTACGTTGTTAAAATAATTACAGCAAGTATTTCTTGTAACTTTTATTCTTCAGAGGACCTCTTGAAGTAGACAAAGGCACGCAGCGAATCTCATCGCCGTAATAAGCCCAACACGTAAAGTTAAAGTTATATACTTAGGTAATAAGTAATTAGTTCGAAACTTTACAAAAAAGGGTCGATTGCAGAGATTTTAAAAGGCATCGTATGTACGGCTTCATATAATTAGTACTTATGTCTAAAAAGATGAATCCAACACTAGTAATTAACTGTATCAGCAAGTCGAAAACAGAAGGAAGCGCAAAATTGAGGGTTGGTGTTACTGGTGGGAATAATTTAAGAACTTTTACCCACTGAGAAAAGTTAATAAGGTTGTTCCTCACCTTATCGGAGGTTGTGGTTTTAATAAATAAGAACTTTAGAAAGTTAAAATTCTTATGAACTCACTTAGACAATACAACTCCTACGAATAGTTCTTCCCTTCTGAGTGAGGAGCTCATAATCGGGGAGGCCTGGCAGTGGCGCTGGCCACCGTCTCCAGGCACTCCCGGGCTTTGTGCTACGGCAGCGAAGTTATTAGCAGATTTCCGCCGCGCGAGGCCAAATGGCGGGGCTCCAGGTCCGCTATCTTCTGCCTTTTTAGTCCTTCGGGACAGCCGTAGCGCCCTACAAAGCGCATACACTGGCGGGCACCCGTGCTCCAATCCCAGCAGAAGAGGGGAATTCAGATTAGGAGGCCTAAGGTCTCTACGAAGACCAGCAGTAGTACGCCAGTGCTTAAAAAAAAAGGGCTACCGTGAAACTATCTTGTCTTGGGGTAATTTTAAGATGTTCTTTTCTCTTACGGCTCTTACGAATTTTTAAATACCTGTTATTTTATAATTAAATTAGAACAACTTTAATGTATAATACGAATTTCAATTAATATTACCAAAATAACTTAGACTAGTTACAAATCTATTAAAGCTTTAAAATTCTAATTTATAGAGAATACTGTGCTTATATTTTGAAGGTAAAGGTTTATGAAAGCGACTATGTAAATAATTGATTCTTATTATAATCAGAATTCTGTGGAAGTTCTGTTTTTGTTTCGCACGGCCTTATGGGGAGAAGCCTAATATAATTTTACCGCTCTCCCCTAAGCACCTCTCTTTTGAAATTTTCAAGATCATCAGGACTCAAAGGGAATTTTTAATCTCATTCAAAGAGTTTAAATAACAAGGCTGTAAATTGTTGTTGTAGTATGCTTTATATTTTAAAAACTACATAATATTATATTTGCTTAGTACTTTTAAAGTTTACAAGTATGGCTTCGTATTAACTAAGTAATTTGACTATTAACTAAAAGTAGTTAAAGGGAATAACCAAAACAAATATATTTACTGTGATAGGAGGCAGAAGAATTCTATACTCTGTGTGGCTGTATACAGCTATCGCGAAAGACATACGAATAAATAGTGCTTTAGATTAATCAACAAGTTCTAGTTCATAGTTCTATTTTGAACGACTGCGTTCTGTTTGGTTTCCGTCTTCTAAGTCTGATATCTACATTTAGTATTACTAAAAGGTTGTACATAAATAACTTTGGTGTGTACAAATAACCTTATTTTGGATTTTACGATGACGTAACATCTTACCAGCATGGAAACATGTAACGTTACTTTTCGGTTTGTTATATTAGCTGCCCCAGTGTTAGTGAAGGGTAATAACGCTTAGTGTCAGCAGGTTCTCTACACGACGCAGGTCTAATAACACATTCATTCTAAGAAGTTAATTAAGATTAATAATTTATATGTGTTAGCAAATTATTTAATAACATAGGCAGCGGTTTTTAAATTACACACTTCGTGTTATGGGAAAGAACAGCCCAGGGTTTGAAACATCATTCAGTATTCGTCTTAGCATAGATTTGTATACAAATAATTTATTCTTTTTAATTCATGGAACTGTGAGAATCAAATTAAGTTTACAATCTTTAAACTTGTTTAGGGGTTTCTAGATTTCGAAGTTTGCGTATAATGGACGTCGTTTAATGTCAAGCTTAGATTCTTGGTTTCTGGGCCTATGTACTATGTATGCCAAAAAGCTTTAAATTTTCGACGGTTTAATTTTACATCTCACGATATGAACAACACTTTAGTTTTATCAACGCTAAATTTTGATAATGAAATGTTAGAACTTACAAAATACAGTAAAACGCTGCGTCGTCAGCATATCGAGGTTAGCGTACAGTATTGGGCCGTGCTAGGATTAGCATAATAATGGAGAACAATAATGGTAATAATGATATGAATACTTCTATAAAGTTGCCTTTATGTTTTTAAATTTATACTCTTAGGGATGTGACTAGTTGAAGTGTTACTTCTAAGTTTATCAATAAGAAAAGTGTACCTTGTAGCAAAAAGCCTTTCTTCAGGCTTAAATGTCAGTGTTCAGAAGGCATTCTAGCTGTTTTTCATGAATTTTTTTTAACAGTTAAATACTAAAGCCGTTTTCTTAGAGGGCTTTAAAGCACTTTAAATTCTTTTTAAGGAGGATTTAGTCATGATTATTTACCAGTATATTCACCCAAAGGAAGTAGTATAACTATACTAAAGGACGGTACCGGTAAACTTAGTGTGGTGGAAAACCTCCAAAAAAGCCAGCACTGGCGAGGCGGCCACCGATACTGGGTCAACATCCCTCCCCAACTTTTAGCCTCCCTCCCGTAGGAAGAAGACTTCAATAAAGATATTTTATATCCTTTTCTTAGCACCATAGGTCGTAAAAACTCTCGCCGACTGCTAATGTCCGAAGCTTTTTAGCAGTGAAGTCATATTTAGCCACCACGTTCTAGGGCTAGGTACCTTCTCCGCTTGAGGTTCAAGTATGCTAACATTAAAAATAGGATATATCCTATTTAAAAAGATGTCAAGCTAAGTTCTTTAAACTTTTTTTTTCAAACAAACACAGTTTTTGGTTTTATTCTTTCTTAGATATAGCTTATAAGTTTCAAATGTAAAGTGCCCGTTATATAAGAATATTTCTCTCTATATAGAACAAGACTGTCTTGAATAAGACAAAGTTTTAATTAATAAGAATTGATTTTCTTATAGTTAAAATATACTTTTTTTTTGCAATTGTGTAATTTCGGACTTTTTGGTGATAGAAAATACAAGTTACAAAGTGCTGAAATATTTGAGTTGCTTTGCGTTTGTTTTGGTTACTCTTGAAGCAGTATTCAGATCCTTAATCACTAAGTTAGGGTTTGCTTAAGAATACTGAGCTTCAAATGAGTAAAAGATATTTTTTTTTATTTTCATGAAGTGGCTTGCTCCAGAGGAGATTTAGAGGTCTAAGTGTGCTTAAGAGCGCTTTATCCTTAATTCACTCTAAATAAAATAACCTTTTTCCATTATTATTAATGAATTGTGCAAATGCACGGTAGTATCGAGTGCAAATGCTTAATCTTGCAGATAATTTATATTATTAGGTTAGACCGTATTCAGTATCCGCAGGACTCCTCATAAAAAACTTCTACGTACGTGCTAAAGGTATAACAAAATTGTAATTGTGCGCTTAAAGCGCAACGCGGGGTCTCCAACAGCGTAAATCTTTCCAGGGTTCGTATATGGGTTCTTGAATCCACTGATGTTTTGGATGCCTACTACCACTTTCAAAAGAAACTGAAGTGGGATTTCGGAAAAAGAGTTCAAGTCGCTCCAAATCCAGGTCGTTATGTAACGTATTGTTCCGCACGAAATAAGGCCGCGCCTATCATTAGTGGCAGGAGCTTATTTTGCTGCGTCTGGAGGAGTGTAATCGGCGACGATTTATTATATGTCCAAGCAACAGATGCGTAGGCCAAAATAGTTTTCACGCATACTTTATAAAGGCGCAGTTTATTGCGCAGGGACATTGTGCTTTTAGCTCACAGCAACCGCGTGAATTGCTGTTTTGGCCTAGGTCGTAACGAACTCTACGTGCTACCTCCACGTTAGTTGCTTATCGATGAGGGCCCCAGTATTTGGCCTGGGTGCGCCATGAAAGCTTAACACCGAGGGTTAGAAGGGGGAGGGAGTAGCGGGGCGTTTTCTTGAGATGAGAACTGCTTTGCTCTTCGTTTCACTAGTGTTCACACCCCATTTCCGACGCCATTTGGCAAAAGTTCCAAATAACGCTGCAGATGTCGCCGTACGTTGACGTAGAGCGCAATGTGGGTGTGAGGGTTCGCAGGGAATAAATATGTCGCATGTATAGCGCGAAGAGTAGAGACAAGAGCGGAGCGCCTTGCAGAACACCAGCTGTCAGCCGACGCGCAACCCCAACTCCTCCACAAAAGGTGCTTCCGCGTAGAAATGACGCAAGTATGTAAAGGGCTAACAGAGTACCTTGTGCGTAGTTTGCGTAGGAGACCCTCTTGCCGTACGCCGTTAAAGACCTTTTCAACAGAGAAATACACACGCCTATGGGATTCTTAAAATGGAAGATCCGAATTGTCCGCTCAATAAAGCATAATAGTTGTTGTGTCGTCTAATGGCCTCTTCGGAATCCAAATTGGATTTCTGGAAGCGCTTTGTGTTTTTACAAACTCTTAGCCTGTTTGTAGAACTGCCTGCATGGGCACGGTTCTGCCTACCACTGAAAGGAAGACTAATGGGGCGATATTTCGTTCTTTTCTCTTTTTATACACCCGTCGCGTAGCAATGTCTTTTGACAGCATGTTTTATTTCCACGGGGTTCACCGCAGCTAAAGGTTCCCATTGAATATGACATATTTAACAGCAAATTTTTAAATTTTATCTAGAACTATGGAAGATAAAAAAATTCGAATAGAAAAATTAGAAGAGGCAGTAAAAAATTTTATATTAGATATTAGTAAAATGGAGCTAACCCTGGAAAATCTTCCCGCAGAATTAAGTTCGCTAATGTACAGTTAACAAGCGATATGTTTTCGTTTTTCTTTTTATATCTCCTTTATTTTTGATTTGACAGTTTTTTTTTAAGAGTATAGTTTTATATTTTTTCGTCTCAGGCCCAACTTTGTTAAGCATATCCAGACTATCGATAAGCTTTCTAGTGTAGACATCGAAATTCCCGGGGCAGTTATCGAGTTATATAAATAACTTATGTCGTAAAAAGTAAATATATTATATACATAGTCTTTGTTTATTATTTTTTTAGTTATATAGATGAAGGCCAAAGCTCTGACGCGTTTTTCCGGGATCACTTGCTACAAACTATGCAAGGTTGTCGAGTTGCTAAAGGTCGAGTCGAAGCTTTTGAGGTGTTTTTACTACGCACAGCTCTTAATTTTCCATTTTCCTTTAAGTTAACTATTTAGAAATTTCAAGAGTCTTTGCAAAGTGAAGTTAATATACAATTTCCTTTATTGTTAGAAGCCTACCAACAGAGCGAAGCAATTTTTACTCAGACGCGGGTATGACCGCTGTGTTCTTGCGTGTTAAGAATCTTAATTATATAATATTTTATTTATTTATTGTTTTTATTAAAACAGTTATGATATAGTTAATTAGAATTTTTAAAGGAACAACAGTAACATTAATAAAATGGACGCTACCGCTTCTTTACGAATGGGAGAAGAAATTTTAATAATTAAATAAACTAATTTTCTAATTGGGATTACTAGTTTAGATGGAATTAACTATTTTTTTTTAAGCTAAGTGAAGTTATTAAGTTTTTATTCTATTATATGGTTTAAGTTTTTATACTTTCTAGGTTTTAAAGTTTATAAAGGTCTCTTAAGAGTAGAATTTTCTTATGGATGAGTTTGTACGTATTTTTTGTGGTCGTTTATATTAGGGAGCTAGAAGACTGCACTTTTGAATTTAAAGTATTTGTTTTGTAATCACGTTGAGTTTATTTTATTACTATTTCTTTCTAAGGGTAACCGCTTGAGGATAGATATATAAATTTGGGGCCTCTTTACCCAAAGTTTCTCGCCGTTTAACCTTTTCGGATATCCTTCTCTCTTTTTTCTTCTAAAACCCTTAAAACTTAACCGAAGCCACACAGCAATATTCAGTTTTTAAGTTGAAGCGAAATAAAGCGAGAGAAGATTTTTTTTTTATATAGGAGCTTTCCCCTCCCCCTTCGCTCTCCATCTTTTCACTTTTGGAATTGGTAAAAACTGCAGTGTATTGTTGATAGTAAACGGACTGCGCCTGTAAAACACAGAGCATCCACCAAAAATGTTAACTAAAAAAAAACAGCATTACAGTTCGTAATTCCCATTATATAAGGGGCTTGTAAATCTCGTGCTCCATCTTTTCTTGTTTCCGATTAGGTTCTGTTTCTGCTATTAGTTCTTATTACCTTCTACCTTTTTAAGCTCAATTTGCCGACTATGAAACTTCCCAATTTATAGTATTAATTAATAAAATATGTACGTATAAAGTTAAAACTTTAAATATATTAAGCGTAGCTTCTTTGTCGAATGAAATTTCAATGCTCTACCCAAAGGATATTCCGATTTCTATATATAAAAACTGAATTATTTAACACGTATTTTTAATGGAGGAGCTTTACGGCTAAATAATATATTTATGCATAAAAACACATCGTTTTATGTGGCGCTACAAGGGCAGTTAGTAACCATCTCTGATTCTTAACATAAAAATTAGTATACATCTCTAAAATTGTTTAAGTCATGTAATCTTCCAAAGTAAAACCAGTTAAAATAATTAGTGAGCATAAGTTTAATAACTTAACTTAAAGGTTTATAAAAATTATTGAATTAAATGTTAATATAGTAAATTTATTTATAGAAAGTGACAATAATTAAATGCGTTAATAATATACATAAACACAGATTTGGCCAATTTTTTTGTAAGTATTTAATTGTTATCTAAAAGTGTCCTTATGACGAGGAAGGAGCCCCAAAAAATAATTTTTTTTTACTGTAGGAAAATAACAAATAAATTATATTTAACTTATTAGGGATTGTATTCTTCATAAATTTTTTAAAGAATGAGTAATAATTATGATAAATTTTTGAAATGGAAAAATTTGGTATATATAGTTTATATACAAAACATTTTTATCGTAAACTTTGACACTTTTTAACAGGCGACTTACAACTAAGATCTAGTCTTACTATTTCTATAAATATATAAATATTTTTAAAACCAAACTCAGAAAAGTAGAACTATAAATAAAAGGTAGTAAAGATTTACACACCGAAACTAGCAAGAAAGTTAGTCTCTACGGAGAGAAAAACTCATGATAGATAAAAGAAACAGGATCAAAGGAAGGAACAGAACTAAAAGCTAAGGATGGACGCGATGGGAATAAAATAAAAATGAAAGAAAAGCTTAAAAGCTAAGATAAAGCCGGACGTAGGGTTAAAGTGCAATAGTTTACTATAAAGAAATTAACTAAGCCGAAATTGCTATCCAGCAAGGTTAAGAATAAAACAACGCGCTCGTCACCAAAACTCAGCATTAAACAATTCACGAGAGCAATCGGCACATTTGTGCGCTTATTAACGACCATTAGCAGTTCCCTTTTTTTAGAAAGCTACATTGTAATTTTTGTCTTAAAAGAAACAAGTAAAGGGTGTTTCCGTCACCAGTTCAAACCTGTAAATTGAAAGCCAAACCTATAAACCTTTCAAAAGAGATTGACCGTGCAAGCAAAGTTTACCTCATGATTAACTAGTTTACTTAATACAACCTCGTTGGAAAATTTAAAGCTGTACTTCCCTACAACTTCTTTGAAAGTAAACACCGTGCTACCGTTAAAAAATCTTAAACTGGTAGAAAAATATGAACTTTTAATGCTTATTCTATTAACCCTAAAGATTAAAAGTTTCATTGGCCCTGCAAACACAAACTTTCTTCCTCTCAATCAATTATAAAGACGACGACACTAAAACGCCTCGCGAAAAAGGGTTTAAAAAAATATTTTTTTAACAAAGTTAATAAATAATCTGTACTATGGCCGAAATTCAAGGTCTATTACAAATAGTCTTCCAGTCTGCCGTAAACACACCGACTCCTCTCTCCCCCCAGGAAGCAGTTATGAGAAGGAAAGTTTAATTAAAGCGGTTACCAAGGATAAAAAGCTCAAATTTCCAGCATAAGCGACTTGAAAGCGAAATGCGATCACTATTTTTTAAATTACTGATAACAAAAGCTTTAACTTTTAAATTGTTCAATATAACTCCAGTTTTTTAATAATGTTGGTTACTATAAAGGGCAGTATAGTGGGTAAAAACTAGAAAACAAAAATTAAGATCTTTAGTGAAAGTATATTTTTAAGTGTTAGCAAGAATAAACTTTATTCGTAATATTATTACCAAAATACTAATTTATAAAAATTTAGTGTATAAAATAACTTTAATAACCTATAATAATACAAAGACAAATAATACGAAACTTTTTTAAAATTAATCGTCTTCTTTCTTCAAAGGAAGACCGCAAGGAACAAACATTTTCTATAATAAAAAGTAACGATCAATAATATTAATATAACTTCTAATAACTCTTTATAAAAGACTTACTTTTAGCATATTAAACTTTACACGACCTATACTTTCGTTTTCAGCTATAGCAACATAGCTAACAATATCGTGATGGCCTATATAAGAAGCATACGTATCTCTGTGCTGGTTGACCAACCATTCGCTAAGTAGAACAGAAAATATAATATTAATAATCTTCCCTTTGTTGAATATCATGGTTATTTAAAAGAGCTTACAATCTATTAGTATCTGCCATTCCAGTGCCGACATACTTCATTTGAACTATCAATCAATTTTATCAAAAAATTACATAACAAATAAGTTAATAAAAATAATTTTTTACGATGCTCCAATTGACTCTGGAGATTATAACGGGCATCCTAGGTACAATGCAAAGTTATAAATAACAACAAGGCAATGAAAGAACTACAAACCATAACTGAGAGGCAACAGTAGACACTACAAAAGGAGGGCAAGCACGAGCCCCCTAAAAGAGGTCAGTGAATTCGTAGCCTCTCTACCACCTGCCTTGAAGAATGGTTTGTGTATGTATAGTCATCTAAAACGAGATGCTTTTGAGTATAAGTCTCTTAAAAAGCAAATGCTACGGGAAAGTCGGTGTAGCCAGAGAGAGCGTTTGGATTGACGCTCGCGATAAAAATTTCGGCGATAAGTTTAAAAAGTTGTACGTTGAGCACATAAAAGGTGTCCTAGTCTTTAACAATTTATGTCTAATTAGTGATTACTAAAATACTTGGCTTGTTTTTATTTGCTGAATAGAGTGGGACGGAAAGCCTATTAAGAAAGTTAAAACTAGAAAAGAAAAAAATATGCTTTGGCGGGTTCTCCTCTCACAGAAACTAAAATCAAAAGAGAAGTCTCCTTTTAAGGATAAAAGTGAAGGCACAATAGTTCGCGAAAAAGTTATACAGCGTTACAGAATACTTAAGAAAACAAAAAAGACTTAGCTATAAAGATAGATATATAAAGTAAACAAAGTTGTGTATATTAAAATTTACAATAAAGGGCTTTTTTTTTTACAAGGCTTATAGGAACAATTTACATGTATTCTAGTTTTCGTTATATCCAGCTCTATTTTGCTGAAAAGGAAGTAAACATTGAAAAAATGCTTTAAGGAAGTTTTTACACTTATTTTTTTTTCAAAATTTTTAATTTTTAATTCTACAAGGTCCACAACTTGTTATATTAACTCTTGAAAAAGTTATTAATATAATAAAGGCACGTATAAATAAATAAGGTAGATTTAAGGGTATATTACAAATCACCAAATAATTCTGTTAAACGGACTGGGCCCTGTTTCTAAATTCCAAATTAGAGAAATGTCATATTTAGCTTATTTTTATTGAGCTATACTGAACATACCTGGCAACTAAAGCATATACAGTTTTCACTTGATTACGTTTACTTTCATGAACCTAAATAAAACAATACTTCCAGGAAACATAAACTGTTGGGCACTGCTCTTCCCATAAAGTAAAAACATGTTTTCTTAGAACATGATAAAAACCTTATTACTATTGGCACCAACAGAAGTTAAAAAGGTGTTATTTCCCTTATTCGCTTAACTATGTAGTCATTGTTTTTTTCTGAAGCACTCTACTACAAGTTTTAAATTCTTCTCAAACTGTATTTTTCCCACAGACTCGCTTATTATTATAGAAGTTTGCTACAAAAACTTGATTCTGAAAGTAAAACCTAAGCTTGCAGTATTATATATAGTATACCCGCCTAAAGGGTTATTAAACAGGCTGCCTTAAATCACTACAAAACATAGGCTGGTGCCTCTGGTTTGAAAAGCAATTAGAATTTTGAGGGAATCACTACTTAACCACGATTAAAAATTATTTAGAAGTCTCTAATTCTTAACCAGCAAATGCATTAAAACTTGAAAAGCCGTAAAAACTGCTTGATTATTTTTTTAATGAATACGTAAAAAGAATAAGACAACTGCATTCAGAAAGGTATAAAATTTTACCAGCTGCTAATTTATTTTAATAAAAGTTGCTAAAGCGGCTGAAGACGCGATCCTTCTATTACTTTTGTATTTTTCTTAAAGTAAACAAGCCAAAAGCTCCTTTCAAGTATGACTTCTAAGATTTTTAATGATATGCTCTAATAAGAATTACCTAATAAGTAGATTAATGGCCGATTGCGGTAACTTAACGGAGTAAAGGCAACCAATTAGAAAAACGACTTTATAGTAGAATTCTTCCACAATTTAGCCTAATTTGCTTGATAAGTTAAGGAACTAACATCGAAATTTATACTTCCACAATAATTAAAAATTATAAACAGCAAAATCTAGTAATTAACTTCAAATTAGGCTTCTTTCAAGGTAAAAACAAAGCAATAAATTAATACCTTATTCTACTAGATAAGTTTGTACACTCAAAAAAAGATGACCATCCACTATCTTTATAATAAAATTAAAAACTCTACGGAAGCAAGTAGACTTGGCTTCCGAAAAAAAAAGAAGTAAATCAAACTTACCAGTAAAATAATTTAAAATTATATATAAGTTTTTAGTACTCAGGAATATAAAAAAAAGGGCTCCTGAAAATAATAGAAAAGCAAATCAAACGAAAGTAAATCTTATATTACTCGTAATTTCAGATATTAAAAATATTTATCAGAAAATAAAAATTTCTTTATTAGTTTAAAACGAAAGAAGAGTCGTTAAAAGTATAAATAAACCGGCCAATAACAATAAACGGGAGTAAAGACAATCGCGTTCACTACGGCCTTCTCGAAATCTGGTATAAGAAAAATCGTTCAAGGGATTTCCAAACCGGAAACCCTTTAAAGATAATTATCAAAGAAATAGTTGACGTTAAAAATAAAGAGTAAAAAGTATAGCTACAAATGTTGCAAAAGGAAACGGAAAGCCGAGCCCTGCGGAAAATGAAAAATTCCCACCATAAGTTGAACTCTGTAAACTTGTTATAATAGGAAATTAATAAACTATATAAATATTTTATTACGCCTGAAGGAGTAAATGGACCGCAAGATCTTCCTTCCATTCTTTTAGCTTTGGGTCGAGGAGGTTGTGTTTTAGTTCTACATAATAACACAAATAAATGAAAAGTAAAATCCTATTAAAATATGCTAAACACAATTGCCTTGGATCTTGAGGATTTTTATTGCTTCTTCCATAAACGGGTATTACATTATCGCGATTAACGTTAGCTTTACAGACCTATAAAAAATTAGATGGCAAAAAAAAGTTAAACACGAAAAAATAAACAAATTACTCTAGGATGTAATAAAAAAAACTTTAACACAATATAATAATAAAAAATGTGGTTAATTACTGGACAAGTTAAGGATTTAGCATGGTATTCTAACCATTCACTTAGACAAGGCCAACTAGTTAAATTAAGTAAATACTAACTAATAAACTTGAAAAAATTTAAAACCAAAACAGGTGCCCGCACAAAGTTATTACAGGATCAACGGGGGAGGACAAGCATATATTGCACTCAAAGTCAGAGTAAAAATGATCTAATTCACATGTATAAAGAAAAATTGTTTAGAGAAGCTTATAAACCAGCAAAACCTCGGTTTTTGTTATTGCCATTTGCAACATTTTCATTACCTTCCCCCTCAGAAACCTTTCTCATGCTTCATATAAAAATTATTTAACTACCAACGAAGGTTGATAGCGGTACCACCACAAAGTTTTAGGGCAATCAACGCAGCATTTACCGTTTCCCTGACGCAACACACCATGATTTTCGGAAGGTTTACTAAGATATTCCATTTCTGGTAACTTAACCCAATAGTTTGTTCTACCGTTAGGGTTTAATAATAAATGATTTCCTCTCCACTAATTTGGGCATCCGCTTTTTAGCTTTCTCCATGTTAACTAAAATTTGGTACTTTAGGAAGAAAAACCTTAAACTTTGACTTGCAATTCTTTAACAGTAGTTCCCCTTTTAATTACGGCAAATAATTTTATGCTTTGCCTAACTTTTAAGAACTAAAAACGAAATTTTAAGATGGGAACGTATAAATTCTCTTTAAAGGAAAAATTGGTCAAAATGAGTTACGTTAAATTATTTTAAATAATAGAGAAGGATCACTGCCAAACTAAAACATAAATTCCTCTTATAAGTCCTTGTAACCATCTTAAAACTACCTTAACTTATTGCGACCTTAACAGCCACTCCTTATTTACATGTCTAATTACCTGCAAAAAAAAAATTATTTTGCATCTCTGTAGGTTAGAGTTACTATTATTAATATAAAACAGTAAAAAACAGTAAAAAAAAATAACAGTTGCAATGCTTTATACAAAATGAAGGTATTAGAGGTACTAGAAACTTACTACTTTTTCAACGTGAATTGCACGTGCTACAAAAGAGCCAGGTAGTGTAACAAGGATGAGGTAGACCGGTGTCCCCTGTTTTTTTTATCGCCCCACTTGTGCCGTTTGTGATGGTTTATATTTGTGTTAACATTGATTATTAACTCCTTACTTATATAAATTGTAGCACGTGTAAATATAATCTTTTACTTGTGCTATTGTTCTTGTATATACTTAAATATCTTTATTTTTTGTTACTTTATCTCATTGTTGCACTATTTTCCATAGCCCAAAGAAATTAAGGATATTAAGGCTTTTTTAATGACGGTCCGTCGTCCTGATGCTCGCCTTGTAACTATCAAAAAGAACAAATCCAATACTAAGTTTAAAGTGAGATGCTCAAGATATTTGTACACCCTAAAAGTCGCTGATAGTGACAAAGCTGCTAAAGTCGAATCCTCTCTACCTCCTGGTATAGGCTTTTAAAATTTTGATTAAGTAAAATCATAGTAATTACTTTAAATTCTAATAGCCCTCAAGAAGGTCATTAAGTGAGAAAAATCGTCAATTAGAAGTCCTTTGTTTGTGTTAACTCTAAATTTTAGATGAAGGAGCGGTTTGTATAAATATTACTCCTTTGAAACTCTTTTCCTCTTTATTGTTGTTAATAATTTTTAAAACTAACTTAAGGCAATTGCCTTTTTGCCAAAGTTAACTTCTTACGTCAACTAAAATAGCCACTCGTTTGTTACGCATACGAAAATCCGTTGCAAATATAATATCTCTCAAGCTATTTCTTAATAACGGTATAAATATAAAGAAAAATGGAACATAACACTAGTCTTTAATACCAATACTGTCACTTGAATATATATATCGTTGAGCAGTTGGCTTTGAAAATAACTGCTTTTTTACGTAAAAAGATTGTAGGTAATTTAGACTTCTATCTAGCCATAAAAATCTTTTTTATCAAAACGTTTTTCATCATAAAATTCCGCGAGGACTTGTCTTCCAGCAAACCAGCGTTCGTGTAACGATTTTTGCGCCTTTTGCGCCTGCACTCCAGCACTTCGTCAAACAAATTTTATTATAAAAGCAAAAGCAAAGGCAGCATACGCCTTCCGCTGTAGTAAACTTTACGAATATTTTCACAATCGGGTCTCCCTGTGGGTTCTTATCGCAGTGAATAAACACTTTTTCTGTTTTTCCTATACCCAGACATTTTAACAAAGCTGTAACCATATAGGAGGACATTAAAAGTTACCATATTTCTCACATTCTTCGACTATTTCTTCTTCAAGATATTCATCAACATCATCGGTACCCACCATATTACGCAGGACTATTACGCGATATTCCTTATAATTATTTAACTAATACTACGTTCAACTAATGTAATCGTAGAGGCATACATTTGTATTCCTAGCTAACTTCTGCATAAGCAGGAGTTGATCCTGGATACTACTAATGTGCACGTTTTCTTCGTACTCCAGTGCGTTTTTATTTTTCTTTTCCTAAGCAAAAACTAAGCCACCAATCATAACGACAATAAAATGAGTAATTACCAACATCTCCCTTTGCTCACGCTCCCTCTCCAGTTCCAACTGCCTTGCCGCTGTAGCACTCAACCCAGGCCCGACACCAAACAAGTGGGACGTCCCTGAGGCTATCTTAGGATCTCCGCGTGCCGTTCCCAAAAGATCCGGCATGGGCGGAGTAATAGCCTATAAAAAATTTAGTGCGGGTACTATGGAAGACAGAGAACCGGCCCATACACGGCAGACTTTTAGAAGCCGACCACCGAGATCAAAGTTATTCATGTTAGCGACGGCTTCCTGGCAAGATTCCATAGACTCGTATAATATGTAGCCATAGCCCTGTCATCACGCATAGAAAACGACAGTAACCAAAACAGGGATTTACGCGCGTTAAAAAAAAAGAACTTTATGTTTAGGGTTCCCTAAATCGTAACCTAACTTGCAGCTTTTAATAGGCCCGAAGGCTTCAAAAACTCTTAAGGCAAGTGAAATCAATATATTATTATAAGATGCTGACGGTTAACAGTCAATACGTAGCTATGTCTTCAGCGTCTAGTTCGGGATTAATGCAGGCGATGTAAATTCCTGAAAAAAAAAAATTAGTGACGAGTTTCAAACCCAAAAACTTTATTAGCAGTTATCCTCAATAGTTTTAAACATACCCGCGTGCGTTAAAGCTTCCTTCTGTATTTCTTCAATGATTGGCCGTGCCTGAGGAGCATTGGTCGGCCTTCCTATCTTTAAAACACGCCCGCCTGTAGTATTAACGCTGTAACTTTTGGTAATCAATAATCACAAAAATATATAGATCAGCTTGGTTTGTTGCATATTACTCATATTTCTAAACAAAGTTAAGTAATACAAAACTTAGTCTAGGCAGATACCTAAAGCGATTTGCCCAAGAGCTGAAAGAGCCAAAATAGCTGCCTCGGGAATCTCAAATTCCAAAAAACAAAATCCTTTTTAATATATTTAAACTTTACTACCCTGTTAGATTAATAATTACTCTACCCTTATGCTTTAAAGTAATGGGATCAAGCTGCAAATCAACATTTCTAATTGGCCCAAAGTTTTCAAAAGCCAAACGAATTTCAGGCTCGCCCAAATCAAAGTTACTTTTAAAAATGTAAGGTGAAGAAGTAAACTCATAATTAAGTTCATAGTTTAAGAAAACGTTTTTATATAACTACAAAACAGACTTAACAATAGACTGATAAAAGAATACTTGCCAAACAACTCACCCCCCTTCTTGTTTCCTTGCCAGTAAAAAAATTATCGTAAAAAATAAAATCGTTACTTCCTACTTTTAAAAAAAAATTTAAAGCATTATCCTTTAACATAAATTAATCTACTGAATAAATGTGCGCGAACATTGTTTCTTAAAGCGTTCAAAAAATATTTCAGTTAACAGCACAAAATAAACGCCACTCGAAAATAACTCAAATAAAAAAAAGTATAGATATATTACATGCTTCCAACGTATATACGACACATCAACTGTATGGCGCGTTGTCTCTCCTGTTGCTTTTGGATTTCAACTATCATGAATTATGCTTTGTAGTACAACATTGGGTTATTATATACTTATTCCATATAATAACCTGAAAGAGGATTGGTTTGAAGAGTCTATAATTAATAATTACTATAATATAGTGAGAGGCAAGTAAACGCCTATAGCAACCTGAGAAAGGGGAACAAAAGGTGCTTTACGAAGTGTTTCAGCATACTCCTTGGCCTTCTTAATTTTTTGCTTTATAAAAAAAATTATAATAATGCAAGATCTAAGCTAAATAACATATAATAAACTTAAAAAACAAACTTCTTGTTCTGTAGTCAAACCAGAATTGGCTCCAATATTCGTTACGGTTTCTTTCGAAAGGTTGGTCTGAGTACTAAAGTTCTCTTCCATGTCTTTATTTAGTGAATTTTCAGAAATATTATTAAGATGCTTTGCTTCTGGGTTCAGTTGTTTATAATAGTGTTCATCTTGACTCTTTTTCTCCTCTACACAGCTAACCATCTCAGATGTTCCTGTAAACTGGGTACTTGGTGAAGAGGAAGAAAGACCATTACACCCACTTTCGACATATTGCTCTTTGCTCATTAGCATAGCCCAAGTAATATCACAATATGCACAACGTCATATCGTTGGAAGGCACCGCCTTAGGTGGGGAACAAGAATTAAAAAAGGCCATGTGCCATCAGCATGGCAACAATGATTGGATAAGTATGTAATTGACAGTTTTAACTGGGTATCAAAAAACTAATAAAAGTTAGTAGAAGCAAGTTTTCTTCAATTTCTTGACGGTGCTTATGGTCCCTTCCATTACTTACTTTTTTTTCTATTGTAGTACTTTATAATTTTTGATGTGATTTTTTTTGTAAATGTTTTCAAGTCATTCATAGACTTTTATAATTTTTAAGAATTAGTTCACTCTTAATGCACCGAAACGAGTATACATACGATGGGCAACGCAGAAATTTCTCGATTTATAAAAACTCTCCCACTTATTATGAAGAATACAGCCTCCGGAGAATTTTTGGAGAAAAGAAAAAAGATAATAGACTAGATGTGGATGACTACAGCAAAGAGTACAATGTTCGGTGCAAATATGCAAGGTATTGCTTGGTCCAGTTATTAACTTTAATAAAGTTTTAACTTGACGCATTTGGTAATAATAATTTTGATTTATTAAATTTTTACTGAAAATTGTATTTTTGTTACAAGTTGTTTTCTGAAGATGTGGTTTGCCCTATACTTTTAAAACAAAAAGAAGCTTGATTATATATCGTAAACTTTATTAAAATTATATGAACTCTCCTATGAAAAATTAAATTAGTAATAGTTTGTAAATTGTGTGAGTATATTGTATATAAGGTAGTTGTGCTGATTTTCTGCTTTTGAAGGGATTTAAGGCGAAGGAAGGATAATTTTTATGATTATGAACAGACTCATAGAACTACTCATAGAATCGATCGCTTTCCGCATGGCTCTTCATTTTGTAATGGTGGTCAAAGAGACTCCTTTGACCTCCCACATACCGACAGCAGTTATAAATCTTATCAAAACCAAACTGGTAGAAGTTATGCTACTCATTTAAAGCGAAAACGAAGTCCTTCTAGCGCTTCGCGTTGCGGTGCTGTTATATATAAAGTTCGTACTTTTTTTTTGAACCTTTTTTTTAGGTACTGTACGACGAAAAAGTGATGTATGCCACGAAGATGGTCACTACCGCGTGGTTGTTGGAAAGCACTTAAGTTCTAATTGTAGCTATATTCTTTTTTAGACGTTTGATACATTGTTTTCTTGCAAGCTAATTAATTATATTATTTATTAATTTTATCTTGCATTTTTATAGATGTTGTCACGAAAAAACTAGGTAAAGGTACATTTGGGCAAGTTGTGCAGTGTTGGGATTATAAAAGGTTTTTTTGTTACTTATTTTTGTTTTAATTATAATTTTAACGATCTTAATTTTGTGATATAAATTTTATGCCTATATTGCTCTTTTGTATGTTAGAGGAAAAGCAGTTGCCGTGAAAATTATTAAAGACGTTGAAAAGTACAGAGTGGCAGCTGAGGTTGAAGTAGAAGTTTTGCAATTTATAAATTCACGTGCTAGTCATAAAGAAAAGTTCATTTATTATCAATTATTTTTATAACGGTGTAGTGAACTACGTGACTTATCGTTACTTCCAAAATAAGTTACATTGTCCGTCTCCTGGACACGTTTGACCTGCACGGTCACGTGTGTCTGGTGTTCGAGCTTCTCTCTTTGAGTCTCTACGACTTCATGAAGTCGACGTCCTTCCAGCCTTTTCCAATCCACCAGATCCAGTGCATTTGTCGCCAGTTGCTTAGCGCCGTCAACTGTACTTCTGTTTTTTCTCTCTTCACTTAACGCGTGTTATTTTATTTTCTTCGTTGAAGTTTTACATACGCTTTCTCTCACGCACACTGACTTAAAACCTGAAAACATTATGCTGTTGGATGCAAAGTCTTTTGAACTGAAGCATGGCGCCGTATGTTTTTCCGCTTCGTACCCTATTTGTAGTTGAACACGTTTATTTAATAAATAGAAGGTTTATCGGATCCTTGAAACCTGCGACATCAAGGTTATTGATCTCGGCTCTGCCACTTTTGAGAACCGTCATCACGCCCGCACCGTCTCTACAAGGCATTACCGCGCCCCAGAAGTCATCCTTGGGCTCGGTTAGTATAAATGCTGCACGTTAGTTTTCCGTAGACACGGTTCTCTTTGCTTTTTGGCAGGTTGGTCGTACCAGTGCGACGTCTGGAGCATCGGGTGCATTCTTTATGAGCTCTATACAGGGAAAGCAGCCTTTAATGTTATGATTGCGCTCCCCTCCTCTACGGCATCAGCTGTTGTTATGCTTAGCAGACTCACGACAACCTCGAACACCTGAGCATGATGGAGGTCATCCTGGGACCCCTTCCGAGGAGGATGCTCGAGAATTCGTGCTACTCTATCTGTTGTCTAGTCTTATTGTTGGCTTACGCCCGCTTACCATTTAGTAGAACAAAGTACTCCTCGCGTGGGCGGTTGAACGTCAAGAGTTTGTCCACAGAGTCGGTTACATATGTAGTCAAAAACTGTCGACCGCTGAAGGTAAATCTCCGCCTTGTCTACCGCCTAACCAATTATATGCCTCACTGGTGCTTGAGAACATCCTTGTGGAGCAGAGAAACCCTCTTGACCAGCAGTTTCTGGACCTGCTCCAGCGGATGTTGACGTATGAGCCAGAGAAGCGCATTTCCTGTGCTGAGGCCCTCCTTCATCCGTTCCTGTCTAGTCGTTCTTGCGCGAATTTATGAAAATGATATTCATCGTCGATTGTATTGGCGTTTAATAAAGTTTAACAGTTTATCAATAAATCAGCTTCTGTTATTTTTTTGCCGTACAAACACATGCCTGGCAGTTTCGAAGCTGTAGCTTTTCTCTGTATGATAAGTGCAGTAATAAACGGGTAAGTAGGATGGCATGATAAAAGACTTCAAACCAGCGGAGCTGTCCTCTAAGCGGACGGTGCATAGCGGCTGCAGCCCTTTTTTAACTGCAAGTCCAATCATACGGCCATTTTTATACTAATTGCGGCTGGCAAATTATTACCTGCAACAAAAGTCAAGTCGAAGCACGTGCTGCAGCCGGAAGCCAGAGGTTTCACCTTCTGCTCACAATGCAAGACTATTGGTTACGGTGATCCCCTCGGGGCGAGTGAAACTTACGCTTCCTTCTTTACTGCACAGGAAAATAGCGTCGTTGTTGGCAGAGTAGAGCTTTAAGTTTAAAGTTTGCTGACTAAAGTCGCCGGTGTTCGAGAAAAATAGATAATAAAATTTAATCTAACATATAAAACGAGTATGCTTATACCTTAAATTACTTATATTGCACTCTAGTATAAAAGGCTCGTATAAAATGATCTCACTTGAAGGAGCTTCCACAAAAAATAGGAGCTCCTCACTAGTTTCTATCTAAAGATATAAATTATATTATTATTATTATTATTATTTATTAATTATAACCTCATACTGGGAAAGGTTAGTCTGCAGTCTTCCCCTTTGGCCCATGGCCGTTCGCCATCCCAATTCAAAATTCCAGATAATTGTCTTAATTATTAGATCTTTGCTAGATGAACACTTCTTAAGAAGCTTTTTTTTTTATATTACTTTCAGCTGACTTTGCTTCGGTGGGCTAATTTTGAACAAGTAGCGACGAACGTCAGTGGCATTTATATATGCCTTTTTATCAAATATATTTTTCCAACCGAAGCAGGAATCTCTCAACCCAAAAATTACATATATAAACTTTCTTTTTTTTTTAAAAACTCTACCAAAATTCAGTGGTCGGAGTTCGGAGCCAGTCGTTCTTTGAGAGTCATAAGCACTCAAGTAAAGTTTTTAAATTTTTTTGCACAAAAAAGGGTTAATTACGTTGGCAAAGTGTTTAAATCGGTTACTTTAATCTTTGAATCGACTCTGAGGGCAATTTTTTCGAGGTGCATAGGAACATCCATCAAATTCTGAATTTGAGCTTCCAGATAAAAGTTTTCCTAGTTTTATAAAGAGGATATGGGGAGCAGCCACCAAAATTTATTATAAATACCTTCACTTGTTGAATTTTGGTTTTTAGCGTTAAAGGATTCAAAGTCACAAATTTAAAAGAGCGTCGGAATGTTACGGCCTCTCCCATTTCTTCTGTATAATTTACTAAAACTAGAAGGCTTTTTAAAGGAATTCAATAACTAAAAGTTGTAAAACGAGGTATCCTTGAGTACTTGTGCTTTCCAAGGACTTTTACTTCGTGTATGACAATGATATCCAATCCTTCTTTAGGCGCTAACCGCTCAGTACTTTTTGTTGTTAGCATAAGCGACTTAGTAACAGCCTGTATATCCACCTCGGGGAAATTTAAGAGTTAATATATATTTCAATATTAACAAAAATAAACTCTTACCAACCATTAATATGTAACTATAATGACGCTTAATACTTACGATTAAACAAACATTACTTTAATTATATAAGGGTTTTACTTTCACTGAAACGTCTTTAACAGTAGAGTCACCATCATTGCTTACTCTTATGTAGCAAATAAAATATTCACCCACATAAATATTTCTATGTGGAGGTCAAAAAATTAGTAAACAACTATAATTAATCTAATTTAATAAATTACCCAAAATGAGACGGCACAGCTACTATATCACCTAGAAATAAAAGTTGCTCAACTTGGATCCCGCCGCAAGCTATGAGAATGAAGAATTACGTCCTCTCTACAAAAATTATTTTAGAACATTAGACAGATACCATTAATACTATTTTCACTGAAGTTAAGATCAAAGTATTTCGGGACTTCCCTGACGGGTAAAGGCTTCGAGAGCCTCATGGCTATAATTTAAATTTTTTTTATTGAAATGCCATAGTTATTACCTGTGTAAGAATACAATATTTATGTATTTTTGAATTTACCCCTTACGACTAACGGATAGTTAATCTTAGAGCTGTTGCGCATAAGCCTGAAGGTCCCACAAAAGTTAAAAAATAAAATATGCAAAAAGACAAAAATTTTAGCTCAATACTGAATTAACCAATAGACGACAGAGTATAGTTTACTTCTACCACCAAATTGTCTTATTAAAAGTTAAATTATGTGGTGTTGAACGGCCACTCAATTCAAAGTAAAGCCTTTTTTAATTTTGAAGACTTTGCCAATATTAGAAGCTACTTTTTTTAAATATAAAACAGAATTTATGCAAACGTTGGAAATCGAAATAAAAGTCACGATAGCTAAATTTCCCTTTATTAATTATGGATGTTAGTATTTATCTATCAATTTTATTTTGTTTTTATTTACTATTACATTAGCTAAATACAGTCCTTATGAGTAAAACAAAAAAACTGCTTAACCTCCATTTTCTATAGTGAGGCGAGGGCCCGAAAAAATTCTTTCCCTGTATTGGGCGCCTTCGAAGGCCATGTTTGAATAATGCTAAAGAGCAAACATCAATAATTTCTGTAAGGACCTCTTCTTTTATAGCATAAATATGATTAAAAAATCCTCATCCAGGGCGTAAATGGTCTATCGATAAATAATTGAGGGAGATCTTTTTAAAAAAGTTTTATCTATATTTTTTTGAAAGATTAACTTAGTCTTAAGTCTTCACTTGTTATACTTCTATTAACAAATTAATTCATAAGAAAAAGGTCTTCTAATTACCTTTTTTAATTAAAACTTTTACTATTTATTTTTTTTATATTAAATCAGAGCTATAATAAACTAGAATTTGTAAATAATAATTTCAAGCTTTTTAAAAGGAGTTTTACTAGTTTTTTAAGGTGGGGGATGTGACATGAAAACAGTTTATTTGTTGTTGAAATGCTTAAATAAATAATAAAATCACGTTTTGCTATTTTTTGATTTTACTTTAGAATTTATTTTTTAATTTATATTTAAAGACAAATTATTATAAACGGTTTGTTATATTCCAAGCATCGGTCTATATTGAGGGATTTTCGTTTTATAATTATGTAAAGTCTTCTAAAAAAAGTAGTGAGGCCAGAGCACCGCCACTTATACTAAATTTATTTTGCTCACCACTATTTTACGTCGTTTTATTTAATTGGTTTCTCCACTAAACTACCGTTACAAGCATACTATAAATTTTTCGGGTTATAATAAGACTTTGACTTTCAAAAATTATAGTTATTATCCACTTGAGCTTTAAAATGAATTTTTTTTGCTATAAGAATTCCATGATTTATAATTAAAGTTTAATTTTTTTTATTTTTGCTGCTCATCGATATATAATCACCTTTTGGCAGCCATAACCATACTACAAGGACAGAACTTACTCGAAAATTTTAAATTTATTAAATACTTCTTATTGGCCACTACCGCCCTCCTGCGGTTCTTTCGCTAGTCCTTCAACAGCTTTGTGCCTTTTACTCACCAAATAGTTGTGCTGAGTGCGCTTTCCAGCGAAGCAGATGGCTCCGGCAACAAGGAGAAGAGCGGCCATCACAACCACTCCTGTGACAATAATGTAGGGTTCTTCTTTTTCCGAGGGCGGCGGTGACTTGACCGGGGGTGGTACCCCTTCCTTAGTCGCTTTTAAGGGGAATGTAGGCTTTTTAAAGAAGTAAGCTAGGAGCTCAAATACTTAAGGTTATGTAGTATTACTTTTAACTTGGGTAGCCAGAAGTACTGGGCTTTCTCCAATCTGCTCATCTTCCTTAGGCGCTGGGAGACTTTGTACACGATGTGCAAGGCATCTTGCTCCATTGTGTCCCCGCGCGAAACAATTATAACAACCGGTCTGCCCGAGAGACCTTCAGCTTCTTGGAAAGTTAGATCGACCCTAGACATATCTGATGGAGCTTCTTTAGGCAGTTATTTCATTCAAATAAACTTTGCATAAATACCTTCACGTGGTATAAGTTGTCTAAACTCCTCCTGCAGCAGAAGTAATCCTTTGTCCTCTTCGGTTTATATACATGTTAGATGAGCGAACAATAAAGTGTTTTCAATGGAGGGTGTCAATCACCTTGTTGAGCGGGCTGTTCAGACCCCTGCACCCTTTTTCCCCTAGTCAGAAAATGACCGTCCGAAGAGGACTTCATGATGAAGTCGACAGTAACTTCTTCTACAAGTACGGGACGCTCAAAATAACTTGATCCGTTCAGACATCCGCCATGGTTCATTGCCAGGTCTGGAACAAGACAAAGCTTTCATATATATATATATACATATATTACTTTGTTGTAAGGGGATTTATGCGACATGCAATGTCGAAGTAGAGACCATGAGCGTGACGTTTTTGCGGTTTAGCTCCACGTGGTTTATATCGGCAGAACTGGTAATAATAATGACGTTTTTCCGGCACATAATAGACTCTTTTTCCCATTCATAATAATATGTGCTTGTATTTAAAGTAGCGTGAAAGCCTTTGTAAAGGTAAAATGATTAGCCGAGGAAAGTATATGTTACACCTCAAGCTGTAAGAACACCTGAATAGCAACTAATGGGCTCATTGAAACGAAATACCTATTAAAACGCTGTTAGCTAAAATTAGCAGTTTATAGAGTGAGAGCTTGCCATTGGCTCGTTTATGGAGTAGACGGGAAATTCGCTAAGCAACTGTGGCGGTGTGTTATCAATAGAAAATTGAAAGTAATCGGAATGTCTGAGTTCCTCGGGATTTTCGCAGTTTGAGAGAATATCTGTTTAAATTACATGAGAGACTGGTTAGCGTTCAAATAAACACAAATTTTTGGTGACCGAGTTTGTAAAGGCCATCTTCTAATCCAGTCGGATCAAGATAGACGACGCGAAGCACTGATGAATTTTTGTGTTCTTTACTATATATTTCTCCGTTAACAAGTTGACCAGTTTTTTCAGTGTCGTTAAAAACAGTGGGAGAAAGCCAGCTGTGAGTTTCGGGTTTTTCTAGCGAAAATTAGCTGGCTTAAAAAACGGACTGAGAATAGATGACAAGAAAAGATCTTTGATTGTAGATGTGTACTTATGTATGGAAATATGTCGTCATTAAGACTGAACAACTCAAGTTCAAATCTTTTTTGCTGACTTAGTAATAAAATAATACCTTTCTCCACTTTTAATATTTCGAGCTTCGCACTCTGAAGCCGATGCATTCCGGCAAAGGAAGACAAAATTTTAATGGGAATAAGGCCTGAAAAAAGAGGATGCAAGTAAACTAAACTATTAACCATAATATCATATGAACTAGAAGACTTACTCTTATGCGTTTTCATGTGTGTGACCTTCTCTTCGATGGTCCATTTCACCCGTCCGCACGGCTCGATAAACTCTAAGTCAACTGGCAAAACAAAAGGTTCTTCATTGGTCTGTGGGAGTTTTTCTTTGTAATATAAGGACGTGTCATGCAAACGTTAGGTTTTATAAAACGCACCCACACGACAAGAGGAAGTCAACCCTAATAACGCATCATTATAGACATACTTGTCTCCTCTTACCACGTGGATAGTTTTTACCACACTCTGCATTAAATATGTAAACTAAGTCAATACCCCCTGAGAGTAAGGGCTATAAGGAACACCTCTCCGGGTTTTAGTGCGACTAGAAGAGCATTCCGCAAATCAAAGCCGTCCATGACCAGTTGCAACTGCTTTTCGTTTTGCAACTTTATTTCCCTGGGAAGAGTGGATTTGCTAATATTAGCTTCAGCCGCCGTAGGAGAAGTAATGTTATTAGCAGGCAGGCTCCTGTTGAGAGGAATCTTCCTAAAGCCTTCTACAAGGTCCTCTATCTCTTCTTCGGTAGAGAAAGTAAAGAGGATAGCTTCATTGGAGTTAAGAGGGTCTTGATTCTCAATGACAACGTCAAAAGATCCGCGATCACCAGGAAAGGGTAGCAAAGGGGAAACTGGTCAGTTAAGAAGAATACACCGATCAAGGCAGGTAAGAAGGTCACTATAAGCAAGCTACCCAGTATAAGAGCAAGCATGTCTGCAGCGGTAGTGTTAGGTTCACGGGGACAGGACGACTTCCCCCCAAAGGTTTCAAAAAGAGGCGTTTGGAAGGTGGGGTCGACATGAAGGCTTAATGAAAACTCATTGGACGGATCTTTGTCACCCAATCGGAAGCTAGCCGGCACCACTGAACGCTTTGGAGTCATTTTGAAGACTGGGAAGAGAATATAATGACATAATACACTAAAGTATAATATTGAACGACACCCAGTGGCTCCGTCCTATTAAAGAGTTGCAAAAGCTCTTTCTCGTCGGAATGCAGAAGCTTGAACGATAAACTTTTGTCAGTGGTGCCATGCATGATGGTACGGTATACTTCATGTTTTCTTTCGCTGCCCTTTATGCTGAATACAATATCTCTTGCTTCTCCCTTTGTGCTTCTTGGTGTGTTGCTGGTTTAAGTCACTTACTAGTTTTTTTACTTATAATGATTGGAACAGTTGCTACCTAGAGGAATTCTCTGGGTGGCACTGCACGCTATTTCCGCATAGAATTGAATGAAGTTCATCAGCGGCTAATTTAACAGCATCCGTTCATATTAAAAATAAAAAAAAACCCGAAGAAAACGGGGATACCCAGCGAGCAAAGAGATTCAATTGGAGGCACGTCATATTCAATTTCTAACAGGCGGTTCTCGAAGGAGTTCAATTGCTGCTGCGAGCCAATGACTGGAAGACAATTAGCTGTTTGGAATATGTTGAAAAGTTCCTTTTGATTTCTACAGAGAGATTCCGTTCGGGCCATACTCACTAACGTATACGTTGCTAAGCAGCTATTCTCTAGAGGCTGCTAAGGAAGAGCTTGTAAAACCTTTAATAAAAGCAAGCTTTGCCGAAGGAAAACAGGTGGTATCGGTCTGGAATAAATAGTCCTCTTTGTAGAAAAGTTGACGGTCAAAATTTGTGTTCTTGATGTCTTCGTTGAATTGCAAAAGGCTTTTCCAATTCTCCAAATCCAAAATTTCAAGCGTGCCCTTTGTGATAACCGA